GGAAGGCGGCCATTCTGGTATGGAAATATATCACCCGAATGAGAGTTTTTACGAACTATAAGATAATCAATCAAGGGAGTTCATTCTCCTTAAACAATTGAAAGGATCATACCGGGAGACTGTGTAATACCAACCTCCGGATTCATTGATAATGCCGGCACCTGTGCGAAGTCAGTCGTTTGACAGCCGAACCGCAAACACGAGTCCGATGGAATCAATCGGCTTTTGACACTCCCCAGTTATGATTTATAAATAGAATAATAAAATACTCCGAGCCGAGATACGGTTAGAATTAATGTTCGAAGAAGCACAGGGACGGACAAACCGCAAGGTGAAATTACTCCACGGGTCGGGATTATTGGATTCAAGGGCCCTACAACGCCAAATCGACGACAAAGACCAAGTCATGTGGCTGGCCGGCGAGGTAATTATTAGTCAACCTAGGTAAAAATCTTCCGAGACAGGAAGAGGTGGGATTTGGTCGGCCTTAGCTCATCTTGGGCTATAGGTATGACAAGGCAAAATCTATTGCTGCCGAATTATGTTACCGAGAATTGCCGCGCATCAGCAAAGCCTCACACAAGAGGAGACACAGTTGTGAGCGCACACCTCCTCTATGTCCAATGGTAAGAGCTGTGTAGCTTAACCAATCGTATAAGACCCTTAGTAAGACATAAACCTGATGATAAAGCGATCCTGCAGCATTGTCATGCCAGCTGTTGGTGCTTATCTACAATAGCAAAGTCACTAAGCACTGCATTTTAGAGGGAAATTCTATTCGGCTGGCCGTGCGAGCTTCGAAATCAGGCACATATTGGCCGGGGGAGAGATAGTCTTTGCCAAGGCTTCTAGAATGATTATGGGCACTAACAGAAAGCAGCAGAAAAGGTTTTTTACTAAGTTCATTGATGATGCATCGAATCTTCACACCACCTGACCAGTCTACGGACGAAGGAATTTTGGGTTTACATTGAAACTGCGTCAATGCTGCATCCGGCGTATGCTTATACTTTCTATACGAAGGACAAAGAATACCGTCCCTCAACAGCTTCTTAGAGGGTTCTGGGGGAAAACGAACCCAATAGGGCTAATAAAAGCTTCCGTCACTGGTATAGTGAAGAATTCACAGGTCTTTGTTCGCAGGTCACGGCAGGACTGGGCGTAGGATAGGGATTTACAAAAGCGTCATCGGCCCGGGGAAAAAGGCCAACGATATTGGTGGTGTGATCTGTGGCTTGCACCATGGTGGCGACAGAGAAACCAAATTGGTCCAACAAGACTTCTGAACTCGACTATCCTCATTTTCAGCACCGGTGAATGACTGCTATGGTGGTGGTACCGAGTGACACAGCTGGTATGGATCGGTAGCGGTGGGCGATGGAACGGCATGACACCATCTACAGATTTTAAGTTCTGTCCATGCAGAAATAGAGACAGTGAATACGATTAGACTCGCGGTAAGGGCTCGCATCCTAAAATGCTACCGTCTCGCTGGCTGCCTAAATTCTGGTGCCTTAAACAGCCAATCAGTTACAAATCCCTTGCACTTTGCAGTGAATTAGGACCGTACCTGTCAGCAGCAATTGGGTTAATTCCGATCTGTATGCAATGGCCAACAGGCGTCAGTCGAGCTTGCAGAGAAAATCGCCCGAGATTCTAGCGTACTGGGGAGCTGCACATCACCCAGTAAGCGAAGATGGATTTGCCTTCATTTTTGCCGGATGCGGACAATGACAGGGCACGCGACTCGCTTAAAGAGACTTGGCTGGCATGCAAGCTAAGGCTCGGGCACTAAGTGACTTAGTCCAGAGTAGCATTCAGACCTCCCCAGATTGGCTTTTATTTGGTTCCATGGGGGGCTTGGCTTCAACCCTACCAATGGCACTTGGCGGTGGCGTGAAGCAACAAAGGATAACCCGTATTCTACCAAGCCAAACCGTCAATGACCACCGTCGGGTTTGAAACCCGCTATACTTTCTTCGTGGGGCTACAGCTCTTGCCCGGTGTGCGGCATTAACAGTGGTCCAGCGTGTATTGGACAAGTGAGGTCTGGGGGGAGGCATTTCCTACAAACCTTCCTCCATATTTGTGGAGACTGGGAGATTGGATCCTTGGAACCACCAACAACCCCAGATCATCGACCCCAGATCCGCATCGAGTATTTGTACTCGGTTGATTCCTGCAGAGTGTTCCAAAATATTCAACAACTCTATGATCTTCTTGTGTGCCTTGACTTCGGGCCAGGGAGCAACGTGGACGTAATGTGCGTCGTGCCATTTTCCCCCTCCTTGCGCTATTTCACCTAACAATCTTCATCTCTTAGAATGGACGAAACCAAGTATGCTGCGCATGAGCGCCAGATAGACGTGACAACACAGGGACCTATTGAGTATGTCTTCCCCCAGATACTTTGGCCGTAGCCCCTCTGCTGATCTCTCAACCTTAGCATCGAGAACCCCTTGCAGGGTATTCCTCGAGATCAACTCCTTCGCGATGTGGAAGACTATGCGCAAGAGTATGACCTGAACGATATCCTTCCTCTCTTGAAGAAGGGCGCCCTAGTGGCCCAAAGGCCGGATCAGTACGACGACATCCCAGAGTTGAGCCCTGAGGATCGTCAGTACTTGCGCCAAGAGACGACCAATCGCTGGAAGCACCCATGGGCGCTCTATTACACCATCATTCTTAATTCCATCGCTGCTGCTATTCAAGGATGGGACCAGACAGGTAAATCCAGCCGGTGTGATAGCTTTTTGACATTTCACTGACATTCTCTGTAGGCTCCAACGGCGCCAATCTTACCTTTGCGCATCAGTTCGGCATCCCACAGGATCCTCCCGACTGCACATCTCCCGCTGAATGCAGTCGCAACCAGTGGATTGTCGGAGCCATCAACTCCGTACCTTACATGACGATCGCTATTTTGTGGGTAATATCCTACCTAACTTCCATTTGGTCGGCGAGCTAACAATACCTCGCAGTGCTGGCTGGATTTCCGATCCTTTGAACCATTGGCTTGGTCGCAAGTGGGTTATCTTCATTGCTGCCGTGTTCAGCTTGGTTGCTCCCATTGCGTGCGCCGTGACCCAGTCGTGGGGTCAGTTAATGGCCTGTCGTGTACTACTTGGAATTGGAATGGGTCTGAAGGAAGTGACCGTTCCGGTCCTTTCGGCTGAAAATGCACCTACTAATGTCCGTGGAGGTCTCGTCATGTCCTGGCAGATCTGTAAGTACTCTATGCTCATATGGACGTGTATCGAACAGTGTCTAACCTTTCTCCTACTCATCAGGGACTGCGTTTGGTATCTTCTTGGGAACGTGCGCGAATCTGGCCGTGGTCAACACAGGTGCGATCGCATGGAGACTCCAGCTTGGTTCAGCTTTTATCCCCGCTGTTCCATTGCTCCTTGGAGTATATTGGTGTCCAGAGTCCCCTCGTTGGCTCCTGACCAAGAACAAGGCCCGCAAGGCATATAACTCACTGCTGCGACTCCGGAACAGTCCTCTTCAGGCAGCCCGTGACCTCTACAAGATCCACTCTCAGATGAAAATGGAGAAGAAGCTCATTGAGACTTCTGCGGAATTCTCTAAGAACGATAACATGATTGTGCGTTTCATCGAACTATTCACCGTTCCACGAAACCGTCGCGCTACACAGGCCTCTGGTATTGTTATGATCGGACAGCAGATGTGCGGCAGTACGTATTACCCACGCTCCCTCCTACGAGTACTGTCATACTAACGTTCGCAGTCAACATTATCGCGTTCTACTCTTCTTCTATCTTTGCCAAGGCCGGTGCTAGCAACATCGAGGCGCTCCTCGCATCCTTCGGCTTCGGCTTCGTCAACTTCCTCTTCGCCTGGCCCGCTGTGTGGACCATCGACACCTTCGGTCGTCGCTGGCTCCTGCTCGCCACCTTCCCCAACATGTGCTGGACCCTCTTAGCAGCAGGCTTCTGTTTCTGGATTCCAGAAGAGCAAAAGAGCGCTCATCTGGGCGCGATCGCACTGTTCATTTACCTCTTCAACGTCTTCTACTCACCCGGTGAAGGCCCTGTGCCTTTTACCTACTCTGCCGAAGTATTCCCAGTGTCCCATCGAGAAATTGGCATGGCATGGGCAGTCGCAACGAACAACTTCTGGGCCGCTGTACTATCGCTCACATTCCCGTACATCCTGCGAGAGTTCAAGCCGCAGGGTGCGTTCGGCTTCTACGCGGGTCTGAACATTGTCGCCTTAGTCCTGATCTTCCTCTTCCTGCCTGAGACCAAGCAGAGATCTCTCGAGGAGTTGGACCGTGTCTTCAGCGTGTCGACCCGCGCTCATGCCAAGTACCAGCTCACTGAGGCGCTGCCGTGGTGGTTCAAACGGTACGTGTTCCGCCAGAAGAACGCCGTCTGTCGGGATCTGTATGATGAGCATTTCGCGGTCAATGTCGTACCGAGGAACTTCAAGTCTGGGAATGTTGTGCAGCTTGAGAATGTGAATGTGTGAGATTGGGGCTTAATACAGATAGAGTATTGCCTTTCTAGCTACTGGCTTTAATTGTGTGTTCTTCTGGACTCTCCATTTGGCTTTTGATTATTATGCTGTCGATGATGAAGATGCGAGCAGCGTTACCTCTCGGGCGTACGTGTTTTAGACGAGGAATGATATCTAATGAGTGATGGAGCTGGTGGATTTATGTTGTATCATACGGTTGATATGTTTTTAGATCTGTCAATTATGCTACATACAGTAGTTTCAAAGTATGCTCGCTATTTCGACCACGGCCCTTTATCCGATGATAGATTGAGCATGCTCACTCCAGGCTCATTTAATACTACCTTGTCTAATGTTTGGTTATGACCTTAGGGAATATGACACGGTCTCTACTTCTCTCAATATTGAGTAGACATATTCCGTAAGATGTGCTGTTTGAAGTTACACTTAGACATTATACAACATTATTCCAAGCCTCTCATCGGGCATGTAATAACTAAAATATAACCAATATAAGATTACTGATCAACTGTCCGCTTCGGTCTAATAACCTCAAACCCCTTCTCCTTCTGCTTCCTTTTCCAGCTCCAAGGTCCCTTCTTCTTTTCCTTCCCTCGGTTCGAAGATTCACCCCGACTCTGCCCCATACTCTGAACAACCGGCGCAGAAGTCGGCGGCCGACCATAATACTGATCTGCCTCACGATAAGAGTAATCCACATGTCTACTCGATTTAGACTCCAAATCCAGAGCTTCCAATTCCACAGATTCCATGCTGGAGCCGCGGGATTCACTTTCGGATTGAGGTGGTGACGAGGGAGAGACGACGCTCCAGGCTGAGCGGATGGAGGTGGTTTCTGATCTTGGGGCGCGGAAGAAAGACGAATACTCGTCTCTGGTAGGGAGGTCACCTAGAAAAGATGGTCGGCGGGGGGTTGAGGGTCGTTGAGTGTAGGGGATTGAGATTTCTGGGTTGGTTTAGTATTTATGCAGTATTTAGTTCGTTAGATGGAGGACTCACCTGCTGGGTTTAGGGCGGGGAGACGTGCAAATGACATGCGGCGGGTTGAGCGTCGGGAGAGTTGGCCGATGCCAAAGACCTTCGTTTTCATTAGTATTTTCTTTGTTTGATTTCGGTGTGAGTTTCTGGGGAGAGACGTACAGGAGCTTTATCAGAGTGATGATCCAGGTCGGCTGGACGGGGATCGATGATGCCCATTTTCGACAAGGAAAACCGGACCATCTCGTAGACGCAATCGACGAGGAATCCGGTGAACAGGACGGCAGCGTGTAGGGATATAATAAAGTATCCCACTAAGGCTTTGTTTCCCTCACGCAGGCCGGCCCTAGGGAGGAATGCACAGCTCATCCCGATAATGACCAGGCGGACGGTTGCGAAGCAAGCATGTCTCCAGGCCCGTTGTGCCCGCCAGTTCCATAGCAGACAGGCCAAGATAAAGATCTCACAGGATATGAGAACGAGTATCTGACCGAGTCCAGACGTTTGTAGGGCGCCGATAGCTAAGCCCCGCAGGAACGGGACCATGTATAACGTATCAGAAAGCCAGTCTTGGGACGAGGTTCTGGGGTAGGAGCCCTTGTTGAAGAAGGTGTTTTGTCGGTCGTCCTTGGCCAAGTAACGAACGATAAATGCCAACGATGCGGCCAAAGCTGCGACGAAGGACACAGCGAGAAATGTGCGATAAACGGGAAACCATGTGGCCAAGCGTGTTTGGTAGAGAGATAACGCAACGATGGGATGGAGAAAGTAGTTCAGGAGGATCCGTGCGACACTCCAGCCCACGTGCTGGATGTGGGTGAGGAACTCCGTTGGAAGATCTATCACATGAGTTGAGCCGCGGGTTGGAAACAGCTGCCAGGCCCATTTGATTAACCATATGATTTGGGCTGCCACTATAACTCCGAGAATGACTAGGGCAAGATTGACGACGGCGTTGGTCCAGAGATCACTCATCGTGGTTGCCCCAAGATACTGGGCCATCTCTTCGAAGCCGTAAGTCGCATTTACGGCGTAAATATTGTCTTCAACACCGGGGTAGATGAACTGATGTGTGACGGGCCAGTTTCTTAGAATGAGTGATGACCAGGCGAGCTCGCCTACTGATGCCCGGAAGAACCCAGGATAGGATAGCGTCAAACATCCCGTCAGAAAGACAAACTGGATGTACTGCAAGCAGTCGCCTATCCCCGGGAAATAAGACTCTGCCGGATCCCGTGATGCATTCGCGAGCTCGTACCGGAAAACTCTTCGTCCACGACGTCGACAGATCATGAGGGCACCGCTTATGACCCCGGTGAGAATCATGATGAGTAGCGGGATCCCCTTCAATAAGCCTGATGCTGTCGAGCCAATATACGGGGTGATATTAGCGGCGGTACATAAAATATCGGTGTCATTGAGCCGAAGGCGAACGGTCGTGGCCAAGGTGTTCATGCGGTACGCATGATCCAATGAGTACGAGGCTCGGTACGTTGCGTACGTTCGAGGATCCCACCTGGATCGTCAGCGTTGAGTGACCTTCCTGTTGGGGGATGCACTGCGTACCTTGGGTAATCGATAGGAGAGAGCTCCGGGCAGATACCACTGGAATCCAACAAGCGGTCATCAGTGACGACCGAACGACCAAGCACTCTAGCATCAATTGACATCCGCGCCAATGCGCCGCCCAAGGCTTCACAATTATGGGACTCATAATTGCCCTTTAACGTTAAGGACAGTATTGTTGTGTTTGCATGTTTAGTGTCTAGATAGCCTGTGAAGGAAAGTGGCTCAAAGATAGGATCGACGGACGCAACGTCCGACGGACTGCAGTCTAAACGGCGAATAAACGCTGCATGTACAGGTAAAAGTAGGAGTGATATCAACAAAACCCCGAAGTTATTCCTGTGGCACATTATGTCTTAAGAAGGAGCACATGATAGTGGCTCACAGGATGCAGATCCTTCGAGACTCGCCGGGGGGTGAGCGGAAAGAGAAAGATGTATGTCTTACAACATTTCAGCTCAAGAATGTTGGGGTCAAGTGGCTCAGCTGGATCTGCAGCACTTTAATTCATCACAGGCAACACGTTGGAGACCAGAAATTTTCCAGAAAGACAAAAATAGACTAGGGCTTCGGATCGAAGACTCCGGCGGCCTTGGCAGCGTCTGGCAAAGAGCTATAATTGGCTGTTAGACGCTCGGCTCGTGGTAAGCTTTCACACCTTACGGGATCAGGAAAGGCCATCGGGCGCTAGTCCGACTCTAAAACAGGCTACCGGGAAAACTGTTGCCGCTGGAAGCCGTTGCACGGAGTACTATTCTTTGCAACTAATCAAGTGACAGGCGACGATGAGATAAAGTATCAATACAAGGGCTCATGGGCGCAGCAAGTGTTTGGAAACCATGAGAACTCTGTTGCCCTTGACTGTCGCCTGGAGCAACCTTTAACCCGTAGTTGAGATTCAAGATGCATTGCACTGCACACCCCACAGTCAGTACGATAAGAACCAACGCGACAGCGGCAAAAAACAACATCATTTCCTTGCCTGCAGTTCTGCCGAGCAGTGAGTTACCGCAAAGCGCAACGATCCGGCTAAGGAGATATGCAATTGATCCGAGGTAGCATGCCTATATATCGTCAGTACTTAGGACTCGGCCACGTGAAGGGAGGCTCACGATCACAACCATCAAGGCAAGTTTGAGCCCCGACTTTACGCAGTAGGTACCGGCGACCATCACCAGTAATGAAACGGGAATGAGTGCCATTGTCAAGGAATATTCAGGCCCCATGAAATGCACGTCAATCAGGTCATACTGGATGATAAAGCCAGTCAGGAAAAAGAAATCGAATTTAATTAGGACCAAGTAGATCTGGACGAGGTCAGTCCGATCGCGAGAGATCATGTCCGAGATGCGTACCTCGTAGGCTAGATACCGCAACCGCAGCTCTGGGCTGCCATGGATGCATTTATAAATTGCCCAAGCATAGTCCGTGTGTAGCCGATAGGCAGCAGGTATGATAACGAGCGAAGAAACGGCTAGAACAGCCTGAATAGCTACTTCAGCCGGCTGCATTGATGGCCAGATATCCCGAGACCAATCCACGAGGTGATTGCCCATCCCGTCGGTTGTTCCTTGTAGTGAATAGGTAACATCTCGCATTTTAATGTACTGCAGGACTGCATACACCACAATGCAGACGTTGGTGAGGCATATAGCAAGCAAGGAAATATTGTTTTTGTGGTGGATTGCATCCAGGGATAGACCGACTTCGTAAACACATGCGAAAATGACAATACCCATGCCCACGGGAATCACGTAGGAAGGGGCGATTTGGATGATATTGGGCTGGACCCACGATTTCCACTGAACGAGGATGTATCTGTTACTAGTTAGACGGATAAAGAATTAATGCCTGTGGACAATTACACTGACATTTCCAAGATAAGGACCAGGAACAATTGCATCAAAAGAGTCCCACAAAACCACCACTCATTCTTAGTGGCGGGCCTGTACATCTTCTGGCGGGCAACAGCGTCTCTAATCAGAGGGGTAAACATAATACCAACTTGGCAATCAGGGAAAGTTCACGGGATGGATTTTTATATACGCAGCAATACTCCACTAGGTCAGAAATTTCATGCTCCAAGTGTCAGAGAGCAGGGCGCGGACGTCACTAAATCAGTTGATCTGCAAAATAGTCCAGCGCTTATGGGATATCGATTATTCATTGTGCAACCTTAACCAGGGTTAATACGCTTTATTCTAGCTAAACTAGAACGAAAACGATGTGGTCTGTACATAAATACCCTCGCAGGCTGGGGATTCTCGTTCATTATTGGTACCCACCTCAGACACGCCACGTTCCCTTACCCACTCTGGCCACTCCATCAAATAGAACCAATATTGCAGTAAATATGGGTCAGAACATCACCTATCTTGGTAACTGGTACCCTAATTCGGTAACCTCTTTGATTCCTATCTAGGCATATATCAAGTTAGTAGCCTATTTGGGAAATAGGGTAAAAACAGGCCATATTTCAGGATTAGGGCTTCCGATAGTAACTCATAGTTCATTGCGTGGTTGTGGGTTCTTGAAGTAAAATATATTAATTTCTTCGAATAATTCAGCTCATAATACGTTAGGGTACTGTGGTTGTCCATGTGCCAGGCATTCGCTACGTTGGTATGAAAAAGCAATATATATTTAACATCCGCTATTGTTGCTGGTCGATTGGAAACTCAACCGATGTTGAGATACGATAAGTTTTAACTTCTATCCAAATGAAGTGCTCCGTGCAAAAACATCTTCTTCGTTACACCGGTTTTGCTTGATATATGTGAGCTTATATGGGTTTTAAGCCTGTTGGTTTTAAGCCGTTGCTACGTCGATTACTCGGCCCACTCCACGCAGTCGGAAGGGAAGGGAAGAGGGAAAGAAAGGATGGCCAATTGTGGCGGCGAATAGTCCACAGATTTATTGTGAGAATGTGATCAAGCATGTAACTGAATCGGACTTAACACTTTCTACTGCCCGTTTCCCTTCTCTTGGTGTGTTCTCGAATATCAGCCGGGCCGCCAACTCCCACAAAGCATATTTGGATAGTATAGATGTAAAGGATCAAACCGCAAGGCTTGATCAATCAGTCCAGTGCACTGCTCTGAAAGTTCAAAGCGCTATACATTGAGTATGACCATGCCATGCATATATGTAGGGGTGGCGGTCAACTTCATGACAATTTCCTCACTAGAGCCCGTGGTTTATGCAACGCACCTTGTTCCGTGCTCAATTTTTCCGAATTTCCAGTGTTCTTTATGTATTACTGCTCGGTACGCGGATTAGGCATGTCTCTAAAGATGCAAAAACGACAAAAATGGGACAAACCGGGATCGAACCGGTGACCTTCTGATTACCTAATGGTAGTTGCTGATCGAAGTAGACTTCAGTCAAACGCTCTCCCAACTGAGCTATTCTCCCAATTGATGACTAAGCTGGGAATATAAAGGTATATCATAGCATGAAATGCCGTGGTGTACCATGGTCAAATCTTTGCCATCAGCAATGGTTTTCCACGCCACAAGCACGGGTCAAGCACTCGGTGTAGGGCCGTCGCTCTGCGTCAATTTATTTTGAGCTCTAAGATTCCTAAATTTGTCATCAATAACTTTCTCATGTCGTCGCCGATTCTCCCGATTGACTTTCTCCCATCCTTCCTCAAAGGGAGTTGCCACGTGAACTCGCCCGCTCGGTCGTACCTAACCAGAGTCGGACTAGCCCGGTTCTGTGCATGTCCAAGTTACACCACGACGTTAGACTTACCAGTAGGTATTCGAGCAGATACCTGCACTGGGCCGTTCAATAATGACGGAAAGTAAATGGTTAGGTTGACAATGTTGAGCTGGATTCCTTGATTTATCATATTGGGGCACAATCGCTTCTGTTGCGCGCATGGATTTATTCTTCGGTCTATCCGGACATGCAACGAAATATATATATGAAGTCCAAGCGTACCGAGTCATCGATACATGATCATTGTGCAACATGAGAATCAAGTATAGACTGGAGCAACCTCAGTATGTCCACAGTAAGTATTTTCTGGTCTAGGGATAAGATGTGGTAATTGCTGAACTGTGGTTGGTCGGGGAGGAAGATATACTAGTAGTAGTTCTACCAGCAGTTCTTCACGCTAAGCCCTACAGACAAACATATCTCCAAAAAGGGTAAGTGACAGATGCGACCAACCGAATGTTAATCTATTAAGGTTCGGCGATCGATGACCGTCGTGATTAAGGTGCCGCCTATCGCCATTGCTGCATAGGACGAACCAAGGAACGTGAGATTTGCTGAAGAATCTAATCACACGGCTAAATTAGAGAAACAGCCCCACAGGACCTGATGAAAACCAAACGTTACACATGGAGAGATAAGAATTCTATGGGGGTATAATTGTGATGCATAATCTATAATACAATGCATTGGTCGACTGTACAATGGCCACAATCAATGCTCAAAACTTCAATGCTCCCAACTCTAAAACCCATTCACGCCGTGATGCAGGGAGGGTGGTGTTAATATCGTGCCCGATGATGTATGAGCTCGGGCGGGCTCGCTAGAAACGGTGGGGTGTTTCCCTTGATTCGGTACAACTGCAGTCGCGAATGAATGGCCGTTTTTCAGGTCCGTAGATATCAACGAATGCGGGCGTTGTTGCAAGGGAATATGAATGTAGCGAGAAACGCGACGGGAGGATGCATCGTCATGGTTTCTCACGGGAAAACCGTCGCGAATTGCACGGTGGAAGTCTGGTAGGAGTAGAGTCTTTGAGTGATCGGCCGATTAGGAGATTATTATGGAAACGTAAACCACCGGGGTTTATACGGCGTTATTGGCGCAGGTGAAGCTGCCGTGCGATTTATCGTTGTGGATGGCCACGCCGGACACCCACAGGCCCAGGGCACAGATCATGACACCGAAAATGAACAAGCATACGTTGCACAGAGTGAGGAAGATCTTCATCGGCGAGGCAAAGTATTGGCCCTTATAGATGTAAAGCCAGAAGACACCGGGAAGACCGAAGGTGAACCAACTGACAAAGAGCGCGCTGACCAGACTGAGCAGGTTGCTGAACACGGGGATGGCCTCGGCAATGATCCAGGCAATGACCCAGAAGACTACGGCCAGACCAATCCAGACACCAATGCTGCGCCAATTCCGCTTGTGCATCAACTCAGTTCCACGAAGCATGCGCACGTAGACGTTCTTGATGGCCACGTGGCCCAGAACCACACCAGCGATGACAATGGTCGGGATGGCGATACCGTAGGCAACTTTCCGCACTACCGGACCCGCGGAGCCCAGAGCGGGGGAGGCGACGTTCTGTCCCGCGTAGCGGTAGATGACGGCCGAAGCAACGGTGTACAGGATGATTTCGAAGCCCTGCAACATGCACAGGGACTTGGGGAAATCATGCGGGTTCTTCATCTCTGCGATGAAACCAAAGAAGGCGGGATGGCCACCTGCGCGCACATATTAGCCACGTGTTGTTGAACATAGAAGATCGAAGAGAAGACTTACAGTACGCAAAAACAATGTTGGTTACTGCGGTGAAGCCGGTGACGAAGTTGGTCTTGCGAGTGAGCTGCATCTCGTCATATCCGGGGCGCTCAATGCCGACACCGATCATAGTGATGACGACGGCGGTGAAGATACTCAAGAAGGCTAGAATTCCATGGTCAACCGACGGATTATATCATAGCACAGAGATCAATGGGTTCTTACAGGTCACGGCAAGCCAGGAGACGTTCTTCATGGTTCGGGGCAAGGAGAAGATCAAGGAGAGGACCAAGCCGACGACACCGAACACGATGGAACAGGTGCCGTGGTCCGTCAAGGTGTTCATCATGACGGTGAAGGTCAACAGGTGACTGCCACAAGCGAACAAGAAGAACAGCAGCTGTCCGACTTCGATGACATAACGACCGATGGGACCCATGAGGATGAAACCTGCATCGGCCATGCTATGCACGTAGGGATATTTGTGTCGGAATTGTGCGATGGTATAACCCGAGTAGGTGGTGACAATACCAAGACCGACGATGAGGATGATTGCCCTAGACCGGGTCAGTAACGGTGGTGTCAGAGGAAGTGAACGTGGCGCAATGCTTACGGGATAAGACCAATGGATGCGAGAGTGGCCGGCAGTGATAGGACACCGACGGAGACCGTTTCAGCGATCATGACTATATCATGAGGGTTAGTATACTCATTCACGTATTTCGTCATTGTGCGCGGGGAGTCGTACGGATTCCACATTGCCTATCATAGCACGTTGTGTCAGTCGGGCTTCTAGAAGGATTCCCGGGAATGTCGATCACACATACCACCAATCCAAGGTCTTGTACTTGACCTCCGCCGTCTCTTCCGCACCGAAAGCGTCCATTTCGAGCTGAGGAGGCTCCTCCTTCAAGTTGTCCTCATCGAAAGGAGGTTTCTCGGAGTCATTCTCCCTCCGATCCAAGCCATGTTCGATATCTTTGACATCCGACGACGCCATGATGATTGCAATATTGCAAACCAAATGCACACACGGTGTTGAAGATGTGTGTGCGCGGGGAGGAAGGCGTGTTAAAGTAGTAAATAAATTGCAGAGGAAGGAGAGAGAAGGCGAGAGGCGAAACCTTATGGACGCGGGAGGAATGCGTTAGTTAATAGCAGGCGATGATTGGCAAATCGGAAGGCAAATTAAGAGTTTTCCGTCCGACTGGTCCGATGTCGGGGGCGCAACCTGCATTAGAGCCGCTGCCGGCTCCACTTCGTCAGCATTAGTGTGAGTCAGAGAAAACAGGCCCTGGGCAAACGAGGATCGAGACACAATGCCATTCATGAGACGTCAAATCACCTACCGATTGCAAACTAGTGTCGACGGTCTCCTGATCATTGACACACGGTGTTGAATCCTGTCAATCCGTCGGCTCCAGACCTGGCACGTGTTCCATAACGGATCTCCAAGGTTTTAAGGTTTGTCAACGGATGCGGCGGTGGCGCAACTCTAATCGGCGGCTTCGTGCGGATCACGTTTGGACTGTTTGACTCGTCTGTGTCTGGGCACTTTCTCTCCGCATGCTCAAAACGGAATCTTCTACGCCGTTCCCGTTTCGGGTCTTAGCGCCTCTTCGGCTCAGAGTTGCCGGCACATGGTCTCGAGCTGGACCCTGACAAACAATTAGGTTGAGGATGACAGATTATCACTCATGTCGCCACCAAACAATGCTTCAGTACTTGTTTATGACTCTCTCATGTTATTTTCTACGCATGGGGATGATCATGTTGTCATGGAGAGATGGACCCTGACCCAATTTCTGTCTACCCGGTCGGAACGGAACGGAAATGAATAATATCTATTATCTCATCTGGCGTCTCAACCCCGTCTCCCTGGCAGCATAGGGTGACATCCGCAAGGACTTCCTCTCCAGGTATTAGACCTGTACTAGTGCTCGCAACTCCGTCGGAGTGACCGACGAACCCCGCATGAACCTCACGAATTACCGCGCCCAGATCAGATCTCCCCAGCTGGGGTGGTCGTTGGAGGAGACTCCACCAGCGAACCCCTGGGCCTCCTTCGCGGCTGTGGTCCAGGGCCCGTCATTTCCCCGCGTCACCACGTATTCATAAAATAGAATGTCCCACATGGGGTTCTTGCTGGTGACTCCACGATTGGCCTCGGATATGTTCTGCCACGGGCCATTGACCAGCACTGCTTCACACCGGTACCATTGGGGGTCATAAAAGACGGTGTGGTTCAGGTTATACGTCGCGGCGTACTCGGCCGCTCGGAGTAACAAGCCACCCCCGAGACTATAAAGATCGCTGCCTTGGCTTTGCCCAACACGAGCGCCGTATGCCGTCCACCCGATGCCCGACATGGTGTGGCCTGATGCTGTCAGCATGCTTGCCTTATCGGTCGGTCTTGAATCAGCAAAGTAAGGAGGTACTGTACCTTGATCACGCCCCGCTTCCACCGACTGCCCTGTCTTGGGGTGGTACATGGCCAATAACCCGGCACAACGATCGTGAATGAACGCATGAACGGCATAATTATACAATTGCACATCGTCCAGATACACCGCGAAGCTCATCAATGCCTTAATGCTGGCCATTCCGTAGTTCGCCTGCCCAATGGCAACGGACTGTCGGGAGAACAGCCAGTACAGCTGATTGCTGAACCCACTGCCCCCCTGCCATCTACTACCGGACTCAGTCCAATTCCCTTCCCATCGCATGATCTCCGCTGCATTGACGAATAGGTCTCCGTCCAGTCCAATCAGCAGCGACCGGTCAATACCGACAATATCCGTCAGATTCGACCCCCACGCGTCCAGGATGCTGGTGCTGCGGCTCCAATGCGATTGGTCGCGGGTGATATACCACATCAGGGCGTTCTGCCATGCGGCTCGTGCGTCATGCGCAAACGACGTATAGTTACTGATTTTACCCCGGGAAATCACAGCGGCGGGTCCCTCCATCGTGTAATTGGCGAGGGAGTATTGGTCGGCGCGGAAGCGTTGGTACGCCGATGCCCAGGGTTCTTTGCTACGGAGCACATTGTCCCGCATGCGCTCGAGGTCCTCGTGCGTATGCCAAATCCCGGGATGGACAAAGTCTCCAGGGTTTCTTTTGAAATACTGTGCCGTGTCGATGGACTCGAATGGGGCCACGCCAGGGATGGCCGGGAATATGCCAGGTATATCGAATACGGTGGCATGAGCCAAGCCAATGCTGAGAGCAATAATTGCCGCGTATCCGGTTGTTACTCTATTCTAAGATAGGGCCCACATTAGGTAAAAGAATAAGAGAAACCGGGGATGGGGACTTACGAGCAGCATCTTCCTGGACCCCCTGAATTTGCTTGTCGCGATTGTTCTAACTGAACCGCAGCACTACGCTTTTTATTGCACCCCACCCGTTAACCCCACCGGGACGTTGGCTATCATGTTCGCTCTGCGCCGAGTGGTTCGCAGATGGTGTATCTCCGGCATCTTCCCCATGGGGATTCCGCAACCCGGAGCTGTGCCGGCACTTGCTCCGACCCTGAGTCATTTTATTATCCATCTTATGGCCTACCCTTAAATTTATTACATAATTCATATAGCTCCAAGACAATTCAGGTCCGAAGTGTCTCACCATGCCCACTTACATCGTGTCAGACAGTTTGTGGCTTAAATAGTGTCATTCTACGGATACTCCAAGCAAACGAAGTCCTACCTAGACATGACCCACCCGATTAAACCCCCTCCAAAAATCTCTCTTCCAGGCATTCACAAGCCCCGTCACTGTCGGATTACCAAACGGAGCCTGCTGCGTCGCAAAAAAGCCCGCGACACCCAACTCGCGACTAACCCACCAGGCAATATTAGTCGCCCCGCCCCACGCCAGCACATTCGCAGGCTGCCCTATCTCAGGTACCGGCCCAGTACACAACACACCACCCAACCCATGATTCACCGCATCGTCCGCCACAGGCCCAGCCACGGTTGCCCAGGCAGGCCGTAACTCTAGGAGCATCTTCACACTGGCCGAACCAGGCACAAGCTGCGGCGTAAACATCTCCGAGATGGTTTCCGGTTTCAATAGTTTGGGAGTCTCCGAGATCAAATCTGCCAGCACGGCGAGAAAGTCCTTCGTCGTGGAGGAGAGGCCGCTGCCCCCTTCTTGATCTTCGGGGTTATCGAAGGCCCAGCTATCGCAGGGTTCCAGTCGTCCGTCGCTGGTTTGCACGGCGCCGTGCATGATCCGTGCGTTGTATTCGGGATGGGTTGAGATATTGAATCGCGGGAAGGGAGCCGAAAGGCCTACTTTCTTCCAGATGTTCTCGATCATGTATTCTTCTAAGGACATCCCGTCATGTAGACGACTGACAACCACCCCAGCCCAGTCGAGGCTACAGCCATATAACCATCCACTGCCCGGTTCGAACACTAACGGATACCCATATTTCTCCGTCACGCGGAGCGAAGGTGTAAGATGCTTTCTGGCCTCTGCCCTAAGACCCAGTAATCGATTGGTGAACGGATATCCCAATCCGGAAGTATGCGACAGAAGATGTCGCGCCGTGATGCCGGTTTTGTTTGGTTCGAAGGTGAAGTCTGATCCCGCGACGTCGGTGAGGATTTGGACGTTGGCGAACTCAGGGAGGATCTCGGCGAGGGGTGAATCGAGGGTAATGAGGCCTTTTTCGATGCATTGGAGGAGTGCGATGCTGGTGATGAGCTTTGTGGCGCTGGCGAGTTTGAGGACGGCGGATTCATGGAGGGGTGCGGCATCTGCGGCGAGGGAGTTGTAGCCCGCTATTTTGTTGTAAATTTCCTTTCCTGGGGTTCATATTAGGATCTGAGGATGGAGTTATGTTCAACATGTAATACCATTCTTATCTACGCATTTGCATATTACTCCGTGTACCTTCGGGTTTTCTTTCGAAGTGTAGTCGGCGAGGAGGGCGTCGAAGTCGGACATTTTCTATCGCTTTGCAGAGTTGTAGTTGTCAGCATAGATTTAGAGTTGTGGGTTTCGCTGAAGCATGTGTGGTAGAGAACAGTAGAGAGAGCACTTGGAGGTCAAACGAAGCTGCGCGAGGCGACAAGTTCGTTGCGTAGTTGGCATCGAGCTAAGGTACACTATAATCTCACCATCCAGGCCTTTGGCCAAACACGTTCGGCCCTCATGGCTAGACCTTTGAGAACAACCCACTTGTATTTAGCGGGAACCAGTAAGCGTTATCAGGAACAAAGAGCATCCAAGGATACCACTTTGGAGCTATTCAAGAAACTGGAAAGCAAGCAGGGATTAACATCTCTTGGACGACACTGGGCGAAGCATGCAGTAGTTTACTATTTTCGTAAAATTTGTGGGTACTCGGTGACCCACATCTAAAATATACTCCAGTAGACACAGTCGTGAGAAGGTGGGATAGATTAACGTATACCAGACATCCACAACGATCGGACAGACAAAGCAAGATGGAAAGCAAGAGGACGCGAATGCTCAAATCAAAACGTAAAACATTAAACCTGCTCACACAAGGAAGTGCATGCTTACAAAAGACTTCGCTCCTATCTTCAAGCAATCCGTAGATATTTCTTGTAGCACCTTGGCGTACCATCCAGCCTTTCCACTCTGGGATAACCTCATTGCAGATGTCATATGCTGTCGTTGGAAGCCCTGAAGTAAAGAAGACAGATTATATCCCTAAGTTAAGCTCCGTTACTTTTTCTTTTGTCTCACTAGAAACAAAAGCTATGACAATGTTTATCACAGCTTCGATTTCATCTTGTCGCTGAAATCCTTAACTAAGATATCGCACTCAACCTCTTCACAGAGCCGTTTCCGCCGTTTGGGATCCAGATTCTTCACAAACTCCAGCCCACTGGCGCGCTCGATGTGGGCAACATCGACCTCGAAGTCTGCCAGCTTCTTGGAGGTATCTATCGGAGCGTTTGGCAGGACGAACGCCCCAAGCGCAACTTCACCCGTGGAACTCTCATTCCCGTCTTCATCCTGGGGTTCTTCCTCCCCATAGACAATCTTGAAGAAATGCGTAGGAACGGCTACGTTCGGCGCAAAGTTGTTATTCTCCCTCAGGCTGATATCCTCTGCACCGGCAACCTCACTGGAGCCAATAACCTCATAGCTTACGCGCCATTTGCCATTGTCATCCTTACGCGGCAGGTATAAAGGACCGGTCACGATCCGCACAGAGGGATACTTTGTGGTCAGATTACGGCAGAACTCCTCCAGGCGAAGCCAATAGCCGCTGTTAAACCCTTTGCCGACCTGCGGACACATGTTGGACATCTTGAAGGTCTCGTCGAGAGCTTTTTGATCCCACCTCGCATCTTGAGCGGGGACTTGATGCCCGCGGTCATACCCGCTTTTGGAGTAGTCGCTGACCTTTGCGCGAAATATCTTGGGGATGCTGCGATCTTCCCGAAAATTGTCCCTGCGTGATGAGATTGTCTGAGCGAGTGATTCTGGTGTTATGTGTTCTGCAACCCAAAGTGGATTCCGCGTGCGACGGTCGTAGGCGCCGTAGAAAGGGAGGGCTTTTAATTCGTCAATCACTGGGCCCGGGTGGCCGTATTTTAGAATGCCGGTTGGATCGACCTTGGGAAAAATGGAGGGTGGTATCGCAAGACCGGGAGAGGGAATTGGGACTGGAAGAGCTTTGGTTCGGATACCAGGTAGCGGAGAGATACCTTGCGAATCCGGAGGAATGATCTCGAGTGTCGGTTCAGGCTGACGTGATTGAACTGTTGATGTGTATAGAAGCGCTGCACCTGCGCCTGCTGCAGCGCTGGCTGCTGCTATCGCTGCTTGTCTTATTCCAGACATGGCACAATGTGGTCAACAACCCTTCTTGCTGTTGTGTATTTTGGAATTAGTCATGAGTTAGCTGAACATTGCCTCCTGCAGTAGAAATGGAAAACGAAAAAGGAAGAAAATAATGTTATGAAGCACACAGGATGTTGGAAGAACAGAGAAAAGAAAATAGGAGGACGGATGAAGAGCAGTTTATGTGGAAGGAGACACCGCTACTCTGCCTGCATGCAATGCATCGGTTACATCCCACAAAATATGATATCATAGAAGAAGCCCTCAGTGGTGTAACTCCGTAGCTGGGTAGGATTACAGCCACTCATGATGTCTAAAAGTCCGAATGCATCGAAATATTCAGCCACATTGACTGACATGGACCAACATGACACTTGAAACCAGTGGATCCAACGAGCCGGTCCAATACCGATGGTCGCACTCTAGTTATGGCAGATAATTTGGACGGTTTAGGTAGCGGTCACAATTTCATGTCAGCTAGCCCTGAGATTCTTTAGTGGATCCCAAGAATGTTTATATAACATTCTCACCCAGTCATGAAGCCGGAATCTGGTCCCCCTGCCGAGATTGAAATTCCTCGCTCTACCTGTGCTCACGTTACAGAAATGCGTGCATAGGTTGTCCTCATGCTAATGAGGTTGTCAATACTTGCGGTAGTACTGGAAGACCTACTTCATTCACCAGTACTTATCTTGGCAACCACCAGATTTACTGTGGCGAGTACACCGTAGTAACTTTTATGGTTGTAAAGGGAGGCCACGTACGAGGGGTGTTGAATACTGGGAAATGTCCACCCAAGCTGGACATAGGTTCGGCCCGGTCGGCAAGCTTGAGGTTCATGTCCACTGGTACCCTACCTAAATGGCAAGGCAGTGAGACAAAAAAATGCAGCCGAGTATGTATGTGGAAAGGCATGCAGAGCTCAAGGGTACACCAACGAGGCAGCCTTTGAGGTTCGCGGGACCTTAAACTTAACGACAATATCTAGCTTATTGACCAAGCCAACACAGTGTCTTTGTCTGAAATGTGGAAAATAGAATAATATGAACGGTCAAATCATGCTTGGTAATGTAGCATGTTAGGGTTCGACCCAATTCACGTGTTCACGACTCCAAGAATGTAAGCGCCAGCTTTGTTTTCCAGCGGATTGAATTCCAACCACTTTCCAACATGCTAGGCTCTAAGCCTTACCCCGCTCCTTTGGTGATCGCACCTCAAAAGAGCGACCAACATACCCATACAATTATTCTTCTCCATGGCCGTGGCAGCAACGGCGAGCGCTTTGGCCAGGTCTTCCTCGAATCAACCGACATCGCGCGACGTCTGCCAACAGTGAAATTCGTCTTCCCGACCGCTAGGAAACGTCGCTCCACGGTGCTAAAAAGGATCCCCATCAACCAGTGGTTTGACAATTACTCATTGGAAGATCCAAACACTAGGGCGGATTTACAGGTCGATGGACTTGAGGAAAGTAGTCGTTTTTTGCGCGGATTGATTGATGAAGAGACACGCCTTTTGAATGATGATTATAGTCGTGTCATCATCGGGGGACTGAGTCAAGGTTGTGCCACGTCCGTCTTCTGTCTTCTTGGGGGTTTTCCTGAAGATGGCGAGACCAAGCAGCTTGGCGGACTTATTGGAATGAGCGGGTGGCTGCCTTTTCAACGAGAGATATCGAGGTTGTTTGGATCTGGTGAAGATGAGTCTGTGACTGAAGATGATGATCCTTTCTCTCATGACGATTCGGATGGTGAGAATGTCCCTGGATATATCCAGGCGATCAATCACATTCGAGATATTCTTGGCCTCCCGTCTTTGCAGCAACCTTCCTTGTCCAACTTACATGCGCCTGTGTTTTTGGGGCATGGCGCAGCAGATCCTAAAGTGTCGGTAGACCTAGGACGGCACATGGCATCTACCCTTTCCGAGGCGTTCGGGATGGACGTGACTTGGAAGGCATATGAAGAGTTTGGACACTGGTATAAAGTGCCTGACGAGATTGATGACGTTGTGTGCTTCTTGAAGGAGAAGGTTGGGGTCCCGTGTGTCGATGTGCTTTGAGCCAGATGAGGATTTGGAGTTCGCCTGGGCTACGAAAGGCGAGACTGTATGGCATTATATCGGCCTACTTAATGGTTTAAGTGATCTATTCAGTGGCGACACAACGGTCATGTACTACAAGCCTTTTGAAAAAGGCCACTAGGGCGCGATTTAGGGGTAGGGGAGCTTTTCAAGAGAGATAATTCGAAGGCGCATTGTGGGGAACATCCTAAGCCCATCCTCTGAACCATACCTTTCTCCATTGTCTTGACTTCTACTGGGAGGACAGCTGCATAGCCTACTTGACCTCGACAAAGAGCGTTCCTGGGTCATGAAACTTGAAATTGAACACTAAACGCATATAGTATACCTGAGCGCATCCCACTATAGCGCACTTACGAAACACAAAGCTAGTATACGTACTACAACCATCAGCAATGAGCCAAACAGAATTACAGAACGCACTTACCCGAAAATCTGGATTCTCCACATCCGTCATATCCAAGAAAGCGCCCGAGTGACCGATATCTTCAGGACTACCATTCTCAGCAACAGGTACTGCAGTCGCGTCTCTTTTTCCTTTATTCCGACGAATTAAGAGCCATCGCGTCACGAGTAGCGTGCCATTCATGATTCCATAAAGACAGAAATGGGCCGTGAAGCCTTTGGTGTAGCGTGGTGCGTCGGAGGACTGGAATATCTATTTGTTCCGTTTAGTTAAGGTGGGCCATGGTGATGGTCAATAGGATGTATATACCTGTGGTGCGGTCGCGTTGCCCGCGGCCCAGGCAATGAATGTCATGGCAAGTACAGTCGACTTCTTCGTTTGGCCGGCGACATTGCGGGAGATCAGCGAGAATAGAAGGTTTCCTTCGGCCCAGATGAACTGTGTGCAGTAGAATGCGATCAATAGCCCAACTCTTGTAGACTCGGTTGGCGCGATGGTGAAAATAATGGCGGTGCCGATTATGGGAGGGCTGACATGGTATATTAGTATATACTATCAGAAGCAGGACTGTCCTTACATTGTCCACAGGTGCATGATCCAGATGGTTTGGTCCGTCCAGGACGACAACGAAGCCCCGCCTACCATGACGGCGCTGGTGACAGCACCCTGTGCGATATTGAGCAACTGTGTTTGCAGCGTGGTAAATCCGAAGCTTTTGATGATGATATTGGAGAAGACACCTAAACCACCAAGAACAAGGGTACTTGACACCTGCATGAGGACATAGAGCCAGATGATAGGGTCCGTGAAGGCTTCCACCACCTGATATCGCTTGAAGGTCTTATTTTGGATACCGGTCTCATTTGCCCGGACCCGCTCCACGAGCAGGTGTTTGTCATCCTCAGTGAAGCATTTCGCTTTCATTGGGCTATCAGGAAGGTACCAGCCTAGGAATACCGCCCAGACACAAGTCGCCACGCCGAGGACGAGGAAGAGAAGTTGCCAGGATTTGATGGCATGCCCTATGTAATGGCTGGTGCCCCAGGCCATAATGCCTCCTACCTATGTGATGTTAGAGTAGTCTAGATGTAGGTGAGAAATTGAGTACCATCATCTGGACGCCCATCACTGCGACGGTTAGTCATGAGTAGTGCTGGCAGACAGGCCAAGACTTACTGCAGTTCCATAGGCTTGTTAAAATGGGCTGTTCCTTGCGGGTATACCACATAGACGTCATCTGAATAAAGATTGGCTGGACGCAAGATTCAAAGCAGCTGGTAAGACGTTAGAGTGATAACATGTCCAGGACCGGTAGACAAACCCCAAGAGAAATCGAACGACCATCAACCCAGGAAAGTTCGTGGCGGCCGCGCTGCACTGGGATATGTCAGTTGCTGTCATCGTAGAGCGACATCAGGCCGGACATACTGCGATGACCACCCCCCAGAGAAATACACTATTCCAGTCAATCATTATCCTCACATATCGGATGCAAACTCACTTTGCCGCAAGGTACTTAGCGACCGGTAATTTCTGAGCCAAGAAGTTGGTCGGATATTCCCCAACAAGCACTCCAATGTACAAGATCGTCCCGAGCCAGTTATATTTATTGCTATCGAGACCGGCATCCTCCTGAATGCCCATGATGGAACTGAACCCTAGAGTGCCTTTATCAAGCGCCTGGCAGAAGTACGTCTGTGCCATAGTATTAGTGATCGTAGCTGTCTACCCTCAACACCTTAAACATACCCCAACCATGCATACAAGTATCCGCTTATTGACCTTCCAGAAAAGTCGTCGATCGGTAGCTTTGTCGATCTCGACAGGAGGGCCAGATGCATAGGCTGCGGTTTCTGCGTCGACCCCCGCCAGATGTTGAGGTTTCTCGGGTGGGTCAATATGCTCATGCTCGGAGGAAATGCCCTTACGGTCTGTTTGGATGTCGGCCATTGTGTGTGGGTATCTTTAGGGTAATGTTGATAATGATAGAATACAGTCGCGAAGTACAGGATCTATGGAGGCATTTGTATGTGGAAAGACGCATGTCTTTACACTCTAAGCGGGGACCATCGCGTCGCAGGCTCACCGTTAGCACTCTATAATAACTGCCGTATTGCCAGTCGTGGAGAAGGAATCTGGGGAAGCAGCGTGTTGTCGGATAAGGTCCGGTAATTGCTCCGAGACTCTCGATGTTCGAGTTGCCGAGATCTAACCGGCGATGCTCCGGCCATTCCTCCGCTGCCGTGCCCTACTATGAGTATCTGACTGTTCTCTATAGAATATAACAACACAGCACTCTATGAAACGTGGATATTGACGCTGTGAATTATATCTCTTCGCGCCCAGAATTATACCGTCGACACGATATCTCCACCATTCAACTATCTACCAGCCAAACCATTATTAAAATGCACGAAAACACCAAAATGTCAGCGAAACGAACGCTAGAGACATGGCGGAATGGAACAGATGTAAATTACCTCCTCTATTAACAAAACGCGAGAAGATATGCTGACAACAACAGTCCCCCAAAAAGACTAAGACAAAACAGTTCTCTTGCGAAACCACACCCTCCCCCCTAGTCAAAGCACTCTACTCCGAATCCGCAGCAGCAAAACTCTGGAACGTGGCAAGCAAAGCGCTGGACAATGCAGCGCCACCAACACTCTACCCAGAGTACACAGGCGCAGATGGTGTGACCTATGTCTACCGCACCCTCGATTTCTGGACATCAGGCTTCTTCCCCGGCTCGCTATATCTCCTTCTCGAACGGCAGACTCTCTATCCAGCTTTCTACGACGTACCGTGGAGAGTCAGTAAAAAAAGCCCACTACCCCATAAGCTTCAGCTCCAATACCTCTGCCAATGGTGGACAGAAAATTTACACGCCAACGCCGCGAAGCGAGATACTCATGATCTGGGCTTCATGATCGCGCCATGGGCCATGAAAGCCTGGTCTTTGAACCGCGATCCACAGGCTTATAACAGTTTAGTTTTAGCCGCGCATTCCCTGGCTAGTCGGTTCGACGAGCGCGTGCAGTCATTGCGCAGCTGGGATATTTGTCATACGAAACTGTATTCCTTCACAGATCCTGAGAAGGATTTCCTGGTGATCATCGATAACATGCTGAACCTTGACTTGTTGTTCTGGGTTGCGAAGGAGACGGGAAATGCAAAGTTCCACGATATCGCAGTGGCGCATGCGCGGACTACAGCTAAATATCACATAAGAGCGGATAACAGCACAGTCCATGTGGTTAATTATGATGTGAAGAGTGGTCTGCCCAAGTCGAAGTTCACACATCAGGGATACAGCGATGGGAGCTGTTGGGCTCGTGGCCAGGCTTGGGGTATCCTAGGATTCATGCAGACCTTCGAGTGGACGGGGGAGATGGAGTTTCTCACTACGGCACGAACCTTAGCTGATTATTTTATCCGTCGTTTGCCTGACGATGGGGTGCCGTATTGGGACTTTGATGCTCCTGTGGACTCATCTTCTCCAAGGGATACCTCGGCGGGTATGGTGGCGGGCTGTGGGATGTTATTGATTTGCAAGGCGTTGAGGGGTGTGGATGAGGATGCTGCTGAATTCTATTTGAAGTCTGCAATGAGGATCTTGGCAGGGACGGTGAAAGAGTTCGTGACTCCTGGTGATCTGAGCTTCGAAGCTGGGGCGCCTGATACCGTGGTGCCGACATATCCTGACGATCTGCCTGAGCACGAAAGAAGGCAGTCAGGAGCGCTTCGGGTTACGGATTCTCGACCCACACTTAATGGGAATGGGACTTGCAAGAGAACACCGGAGACCATCCTCGATGGCGCAACGATAAATAACTACGAGTTTGCTACTCGTCGCTGGGCAAACCATGGTCTTGTCTATGCCGATTATTATTTTATGCTGATGGGAAACATCCTCTTAGAGCTGGGACTGGTTTGTAGGACAAGGTTTGCTATCCACGGGGAGCATTTGTTATAATGACGATTTGCTGTGATTAGAGCATGAAAAGCTCACACAGATTCACGGATAGATGTACATGCGATAGACTATAGAATGTCGGAGTTCTGTCCTGTTAGAGCTCTATTTGCAGGTATATAAATGAGAGCAGAATCTAGCTCGTTAAGTACTGTGGCCAAGATGTGTAGAACTCTCGCCCATAACAGCCGCTCGATCCACTTCCACTGCACCATAGCGACTGATCCTCTGTCCAGGACTCAGTGTCGCTTGCGGATGCTCTGGAGACGCGCAATTTAATACAATGGGCGCATCTGTGTAGAGAGAGCTTGTCGCATTGTTCCAGATGGACACATGTGACGGTTGAGAGTTGAACTGGTCCCGATCTGCCAGGGAAATACCAAACGGATCTACGTCGGTGAAGCTCTGGAGGGTTTGCTGAAATGACAAGGGCAGAGGAGGGAACGCCAAGCCAACCGAAGTATCAGAGTGGTTATCGGGTATAAGCAGTGAGGGCTCCTGTTCCGCGTACGTATGGCTTGGTAGCACCGAGGAGCCATCAAGTACTGTTGGTGTAGAAACTGTTTCTACATGCTTGGAGGGTGCTCTATCGTCAGTATTTTCAGAGTATGCTGTCTGTCGAATATCTAAGCTAGGTTTCGATAGTGCAGGGAAGTTGTCCCTTGCTTGAACTAATCGCTTCGCAAAGCCCGAGGCGAGGTTATCCTTTTGGTTGTCGTGTACATTTTGGGGCCCTGCCCATCGGCGGGAGATTTCGAACAAGCTGGCAATAAGCGAATCCAACGAGCTGGGAATTGGGGTACCGTAGTACTTGGAATGTGTGAGGAGCATTCTACCGGCAATGAAGAGGCAGAACGAGAACTGGGGGTTGGTGAGGATGGCAGAGCAAAGAAGAAATTGCTGGCCAATCGTACTGATCTCCGAAGCGGCTTCGAGACATGTTTCTGCTGATGATGTTGAAGGCAGTTTGACCGGGCAGGATTGCCAGTGTAATGGCGGGTAGGCGATTCCTTGGTGGAGAAGTATTACAGCTGTGTTGTGTGTTGTATGTGCAAGAGTCAGGTTAGGGTCCATGATGCCATCGGCATTAAGGACTGACGCATCCCGCCATTTTGGGGGCAGAAAAAGCTTCCATCTGAGCCATGGTCAGTGTTTGCTATAGATCGACATATTTGGGAAAGAACACTTACTGGACCATACGGAGATCAAGCTCTTTGAACCGCATGAGCCACAGCTGCGCTTTGTCCGCATCTCGGATATCGAGGGCGTGGTGAAGAAAGAAATTGGTGACTAATGCTAGCGACTCGGTGGCTTCGATGCAGTAAGCGAATCCCCCGATACAATCTTGCTCCTTTGGATCGGCTGTCATCCGGCTCTCTGTTAGTAAGGGACGATGTGGGTTAGCGGCTTTTGCGTCTGAGATGCCAAAATATGGCGGTCTTGCTTCAGTTTCCCGCTCCCATAGCGCTCCTTCGCAGGGTAGCCTCCTTTTCACATCTGCACTGGTCAGACTGATATTCCAACCGGTTGATACGCTGCAGAAGCGATCCATCAGAAACACAGTCCAGAAGACACGTCGTCTTTCCTCCGCTTCGCTCCAGGAGGTGGATGGTTTCAGAAACGCCATGCGCCGTATCAAAGTCTCGCCAGTTTGAGAAGGACTGGAAAGATGCTCTTCTTCAACGCTCAGTTGAAGTTGCTCTACTGTGCGAGCCATACCTCCTACGATAGACCATGACGATGGCCCTCGACCACGACCAATCTAGATGGAGATTAGCAATTCAGCGGACGGTGAAAAGAACGATCAACTTACTGTATCAAAAGCAATGATTACTAAAGCCTGGAGATTCTCAACTGAGAATGACTCCATACTGCTCAAGATGACCTTCTGCCTACTTTTCTCTGCCAGTTCGGCCTTCTCCGTGTCGCTTCCCAGGCGGCTATCGCTAGAGAACCGACTACACAACGCGACAATAGCATGCAGAATATGAATTGCCTTCTGGCGTCCCTTGTAAGACTGAATCTGTTCTCGAAACCTTCTGACATGTAGAATTGGAATCCAGTGGTGAATGTTCGCAAAGTAAAATTCAACAAGATGGTGCACCAGGTCCAAGTTGAGGATGTCAAAGTCTGTCCCACTCCTTAGCGAATCCTGTGGACTGGACACCACGTCAACCTTTCGTCGCTTTGGCGATCGAAGATCGTTATCCTCGTTGTGTTCTGCCTGCGTCGAGGACCTTGCCTTGTCCTTAGTCTCAGCAAGCTGTAACATTGATTGTTTCATGGCTTCGCGCGCGTGGGCGAATTGTCTGCTCTGCGTTTCCTCATTATTTAAATCCTCATCTGGAGCACCAGGGAAGGCCGAGTTAGGATGGAGCGCCTCCCAGACCTGCTTCCACAGAACACTTTGCCCGAGAAACATGTTCTCCAGTGTATCAATCCGGCGGTAGAGCTGATCAACGGCTCCTGCGCGTAGCCCGGGCTTCAGCCGACGGTCATCATAAACGCATGCGACATCAAAGCGCACGCATTGCGAACATGGTTGTTCGCGACTACATCGTGCCTTTTTCTTGCGGCAGGACTGGCAAGCCGGGATATCGTCTTCTGGTTTGGAGGCGTACTGGTCTTGTTGTTGCGGTCGTTGGTCCTGTGCGGGTCGACCGTTTGCCTTAGAGCGCATTCTGTCGATGGTTCGGACTGATAATACTAGTCATTTGTGATCTTGATGCCATGACGGATTAGGTGTATGTTCCCCACGGGGCAGACAAGTTGCATGATTGCGGAGTTTGTTTTTCCCCCGCATGGAAGGAGAAAAGTAGCGCCGGAGGATTTATCGGAGTCTCTCCGAAGCCTTCATCTGGTGGAGCTCAACCAAAGATCGTCGCATAGAACCAATGAATATGGCTTGAACTGAATGCTTAAGAGTTCCATTTTAGGTAATATTCCGGTTCGCCTGCTTGGCGCTTCTGATGCTTACACTGGTTACCTTTCTATCTTACTTAAAGTAGCATTATTTTGCAAAGGATGTGAGACATGTAATTGATTCAAGCCAATAGAGGTTATGTCAACACAACTTGCGGGGTATGGGGAGTCTCTGTAGTTTAGGGTTATGAAGACGATTGGAACCTGTCTGCGTGAACCAGGAAGAAATTCACTCGCTGGTTTACTGTTGCTCACTGGTAAAGTTCAGTCCCTCAACATATTCATTCGCAAACATGGGCACAAAATCCGCAGTATAATACCAGGATGGTTTAGCCATGTTGTCGTCGATTACCTTGTCGTTAATCTGTAGGTTGACAAAGGTGACATTTGAGATATTCCGATCGTTATCATATCCCAAAAACAACGAAGGGTTTGCATGGGACCCATGGTATACCAGATCCTTAACGTAGACATTCCGAATGCCCCTACCCGGCGATGTGTTATACTTGGAGTTATACATCACCCGGAAATTGAGTAATTGCCCCAGGCGGAAATCCTCGACTCGTACGTCTTCAATATGAACGTTCTGGATCAAGTTGCTATCCCCGGGGTTGATCGCGATGCACCCCTGGTACCAAAGTTGCGGCTCGCGGTGATCGAGGATGTCAATATTGCGGATGGTGACCCCGTCCATGGTCTCAGGGCTATCGGTATTCCCATGCGTGCCGATATTGATAGGGTGAGCCCAGTCCGCCCAGAGGGATGAGTTCTGCACCGTAATATTCTTCGAGTCACCGTAGTAGTTCCAGCGATGCTGGTAAAGAGCGATATTGTCGTCGGAGTTCCGTAGAAACACCCCATCGATCAGCACATCCTCGCTGCAGAAGAAGTCGATTCCATCGCCGTTCCCGGTGGAAGACATCGATCGGATTCCTAACATGGTGATATTCTTCGATGTACCCGTCGTGACCGAGAACCCTTTTGCCCCGAGAATGAGAATGTCCTTTACCAGGATATTGCTCGACCATTCGATAAGTATACCGCCTGTTGATCTTGGGTTGATCACTCCCCGACCCTGGATTGAACCGCTGGTCGCATTCTGAAATGCTAGCCGAGAAGTAACCACTGCACCGGGAGCAAGATATACAGTTTTACCCGATGGTACGACCAATGTCCCGTTCCTGGGGGAGGGACCGTTCTCAATGCCGGGTCCAAAGTAGACCACGTTCGGATCATTTTGACTCGGGATGTCGGTCTCAATAGTATTTGTGAAAAGCTGTAAAGTGTCAAATACATCGTCATTCACTTGGACTACGACGTTGCGCGGTCGGTCCAACGTAAAAGAGATCGTATTTCCATGCACAGTCGGCGTGATATCATATGAATAGGGTCTGATGGCGACAGACCTAACTGGCCCATTATTGTAGGTGACGGAGAGCTTAACGGGTCCTTCAAAGTCGAACAAAGCAAAAGAAGTGTTGTGCTCGATTCCCTTCCCGGACGTGGTATTGGCTTCTGACACGATGGCGTTGTAGGATTCAACGGTATGCAATCCCCCGGTAGATTGTTGAACCTGAATGGCGTAGGCATGTGCCAGATCTAGTCCTTCCGGAAAGCTATATGTCTTTATGCTGCTATTCAGGGCTGGTAAAGCAGAAACCCATTGTGGGATGAACAGTGTAGCCAAGAAAACCCCAAGACTCATCATGTTGAGCATGGTTTGCAAGAGGGTGATATCGTCTCCTCAATGCTAGGAACATAATTCGGGGAAGTACCTTTATAGTCACCGGGTAAATCTGTAGCTTGAGCAGTACCTGGAGTCGCCATGGCTTCCTTCCCGCCAAATCCCCCGATCGTACAATGGAGGTGATCCGACAATTGCTCCGTGGTGCCCTACAGTTGTGCGCACTTGAGCTTGAATACAAAGTGCAAACCAGCCAATATTACATATATCTATTTGCCTTGAGAGTCGGCCCGATATATAGGTGTGTATGAGTGTAATCACAAGTCGACTTAATAATTATATGAAGCGGTAACAGTTTCACCGTCGGAATCTTTCATGGATGTCCCAGTCTATCCTCTTGTGCGGAGCGAAGGAGGGATCAACCACGAAGTGGAACAGCGGACGAACGCTTCCCATTTTCTCTTCGGAAGAAACGATCGAAGATAAGACCCTGTCCGCAACATCTTACAACAATGCTCGCCATGAGCGATCAATGATCGCTTGACGCGCAACCATTCCTCGGTATTACAATACTTGTATATCCCCAGCGATAGTTGAATGCAGGATGTTATAGGTCTTAGACGACGCGCGCACTAAAGGGCGTATGGAATTAATAGAATAAAGGATTGTGGAGTAAAACAAGGAGAAAGAACGTGGTCAATTACGCAATCAATATCTGTTCCTTGTGTGCCTGGAGAATGCACGGACGCGATAATTGTCCGCTGGCTAGCTTCAATAACAAGCTTAAATCTTCAATAAGCCCCGAGATTTTACCGGTCGTAAAGTGAGGGACATACATCAGCCTTAATATCACGTCTAATGCGTACAAGCTCGCGTCAGAGGCACGATCGTTCACCGAAGTGGGGTGGTAGCGATGACGCCACTTAGGGCACGGATTGGTATTCGTCGTGCAAACTTAGCATGAAGTCGAGAACACCGTACATTTGACACCTACAGTTGCCCCAAGTAAACAATAGCGATGTAAGACCAATAAATCTGGCCTTCTTTGTGCTAGTCGACATGATCGGCATTTGCTGGGATGCTTGACTGAGTTGAGTAGCAGGTTTTATTTCGGAAGTGGGTGCCAGTTATGTCGATTTTGGGTTTACGCCGTTCCATTCGCATGGCCACCGGAGATATCTGCGCTGTAAACGTCAGCCACGCCAATTCTTTGCCAATAAACTAAGGGTAAACAAGAAAAAGTAAGCAATGATTGCACGACATCGGTTGGTTCTCGAACTCGGCCCGGACCGACGCCGAAAATATTTCTCGATGTGCATGGTCATGCATCCAATTGAGATGCTTCTATCCACGGTTACCAACGGCCAAGCTGCGGGCTGGACCTTCTTTGATTCTGTTATCAGTATATCTGCTGGTATTTTACCCTATATGGCAAATTGGCTATCAGTTCTAGATATCTGAAGTCGGGCATGTTGAACCCGCGGGTGTGTTAGGTTCCCACTGCAGTATGATATTAACCATAGGTGCACGCTGGAAATTGAAAGCAACTGGGTACATTGATATCTTACTTATTTCTTTTCCTTACATATATGACTGTCGAAAACATACTGTAAATTTTGATTTATCGCTGTCTACTTTCTATCTTCTACATGTTATATCGTGGCCCGAGTGGGATTTTCAATTCGTGATATCATAGACTCTTGAAGCTCCACTGGAATAGCTCCACATGCAACATAACAATTTCAAGCCCTTATAAGACGTCTGTGTTCCGATACACTAGCGTTATGATGTGATCTATCATGCTCAATAGCGTGATAGACACCCTGCCATATTTTGTGGGTCTGCTGTAATCCTTCCTCACAGCAGCCTGTAGTCTGGAAAACCCCCTTGCGTTATATTTATTGATAGACTCTCGCTGTAGTTCCCCGGAATTTCCTGTAGAAGGCCTCTACCGTAATAAATTGGCAAAGTATTGGACTTCCCTTACTTTCGCCATGCCTTCCGAGAGCCCTTCAGATATTAAAGTCCAAGGTGGCCAAGATGACCACAAGGGCGGGCCTACTGTCGAGACTCATACGACAGATTCAGAGTCAGGCAGAGGGGTCGATGAGATGCAAAAGGCCGGGGAGGTAAGCGAATTACCACCGGTAGAAGCATTTAAATGGAATGTCGATGGGGATCAATCACCGTGTGGGTAGCCCACGGACAAATGTTAGCTCAGAGCCATGTATGAACTAACTGGAGAATATTGCAGTCCCTGAAGTGGCCGCATGCGTGTCCAACACGGATGATCCAACCATGCTCTGCAATAGTGAGTCGCTGAAACTTTCTGCTGGTCGCATGTACTGACTCTATCTCAGCCGTTCGAGCGTGGATACTCATGACAATTTTCGTTATGTTATTTTCGGGCGTTAACCAATTCTTTGGCCTGCGATACGTATGTTGAGCACCCTTGAATCTCTAACATGCGTGCGCTGGATCACGCTTTGATACTGACTGGATCAAGCCTTCTCTCACGATCGGCTATGTTGTAGCCCAGCTTCTCGTGTTTCCCATCGGTCGGGCATGGGAAAAGCTTCCCCGTTGGAGGGTACCTTTGGGAAGGCTGTCATTCGATATCAACCCGGGAAAGTTCACTGTCAAAGAGCATGCATTTATTGTCATCGTCAGTCATCCTTTTCGAATGCAGATCCTAGACACTGTTGCTCACTTGTGAATGAATATATAGTGTGTCAATATCAGCGCTTCTACGCCTTATGCGCAAGGATCACTAATGGCAATCATTCACCCTCGGTTCTGGGGACGCGACTTCGGACCAGGCTTCTCTTTTCTGTACCTTCTGACCACCCAGATGATCGGGTAAGAGACTTAGTTGCAAAGAGAGTTTTCTTAAGTCAGATATACTGATATACATTTTGTCCAGCTTTGGTCTGGCCGGCCTTGCTCGTCGGTGGATTGTCTACCCAGCCGCTCTCATCTGGCCCACGTCTCTTTCCTCCACCGTTCTCTTTCGTGCTCTTCACGAGCGTGAAGATCGGTCTCCTGCAAATGGCTGGACCATCACTCGATACCGCTTCTTTGCTTATTTTACAATTTTCGGCTTCGTGCTGTTCTGGTTCCCCGACTATATCTGGACCAGTCTCAGCTCGTTTGCGTTTATCACATGGATTGTGCCTCACAACCAGGTGGTCAATACATTGTTCGGAGTGAGACCTCCCGACAGTTAACTCTAGATTCGTTGTCATAGTCTAACAGTCGTGGTGATACAGATGAACTCGGGCTTAGGGCTTCTGCCCATCAGCCTCGACTGGACCGAGATAAACTACGCCGGGTTTCCACTGACCACGCCGTTCTACATCACTTGCAATGCGTTCGCAACGATTGTCATTTTCTTTTTCTTCCTTTCGCCCATTCTCTACTATACCAACGTCTGGAACAGTGCTTAGTAGGTGCATCTGATTCTCACACTTTGTGTGGCATAATATCTAACCGGCTTACTAGCCTACCACTCCTATCGGCGAACACGTTTGACAACACCGGCCAGTCCTATAACATCACAAAAGTGGTTGATGCTAACTTAAACTTCGTCGAGAGCAAATACCAAGCCTACTCTCCAATGTATATTTCTATGGCGTACGCTCTTACTTACGGCCTCGGCTTTGCTGCAGTCACAGCCGTGATCGTGCACACTTATCTCTACAACGGTCGCGAAATCTGGGCCAAACTCAAAAACGCGCGCGCTGGTGGCGAGGACATCCATCGTCGACTAATGCATGCTTATAATGACGTGCCAGACTGGTGGTACGGAATATTGACCGTTATTGTGCTCGGGTTGGGCGTTCTCACCGTGCGATACTGGGACACGGAGTTGCCCGTCTGGGGATTTCTTGTCGTCTGCTTTGGCATGGGTGTCGTATTGATCCTGCCGGAGGGAATCCTACAAGGCACCACTAACCAGCGAGTGTTTCTGAATATCATCACGGAGCTAATCGCAGGGTATGCATACCCCGGAAGCGCGATCGCAAACACCATGGTCAAGTGCTACGGGTATAACTCAATTAAGCATGCCATGGATTTTGCCCAAGACCTTAAGATGGGACAGTATATGGTACGTGGATATGTCAGTACTCTCCTATGACTTCACTAATGATCCTACGATACAGAAAATCCCACCACGTCCGCTCTTCGCCGGCCAAATATATGCATCTATTATCGCGACCATGACTCAGACGGGAGGTGAGCTTCGGTATTCTTACCCGACAAGAGCCCAACCCACTAACAGGAACGTGCAGTTCTGCGCTGGATGCTTGGGCATATATCCGGGCTCTGTGACCCGAAGAACCCCAATCGCTTTACCTGCAACGGCTCCAAGGTGATGTACAATGCATCCGTCATTTGGGGAACAATCGGTCCACAAAGAATGTTCCAACAGGGACAAGTATACAACAGCCTCATGTACTTTTTCCTCATCGGCGTACGTTCTCACTTGGTCAGAAGTCCATTATATTTCCTGGGCTAACACCTACCAGCCCGTTGTCACTGTCATCGTGTACCTCCTTTACCGGCGATATCCCAACAGCTGGTTAAAGTACGTGAACGTACCGATCTTCTTCAATGCCGCTGGCAATATCCCACCAGCTACTACAAGTGAGTGAACAGGTTTTTTTCTTTTCAGGATTCAACAGACTAAACAGTTCAGCGCAATACTCCCTCTGGTTCATTGTCGGCTTCATATTCAACTTCTGGATCCGCCGACGCGCGTTCCAGTGGTGGAAGCGATATAATTGTGAGTTCTTTCGCCCGATTGCATCCATAAGATTAATACTGACCATTGAACACAGATCTCCTCCAGGCGGCCATGGATACAGGCACTGCTCTGGCTACGATCCTCATTTTCTTCGCATTGAGCTACACCGGTACCAAGCTTAGCTGGTGGGGCAATAATGTTGGGTCTAATACTTATGATTCGCAGTCTGTCCCCTACCTAAAAGTCTCCGCTGGGGGCCATTTTGGTCCGGGGCCTGGCGAGTTCAAGTAGGGGTGGTTCTGGTCTTCGGCTCTGGAATTATGATCCTGTCGCTCGTCGTGGTTTATATATCATCCGACGCTGTAGACTGAATACGAGAAATACATTTTCAGGGAACTTAAAATCTGAACTGTAGTAATATTTCTTTCCGTTTATTATTGTATATTTATTTAATAACTGTTTGATCTTTTCTAGCCAGGTATTTAGTTGTTGTAGCACATATTATTTTGGCAACGTTGTGCACTCGTACATACGTACATAGACGCGTACACTCGCGCATAACCGCGTACGCCTGCATTCCACGCAGCAGAATCGTCTTGGTGCACGACTAGATTCAAGTCGAGACACGCCCATTCATCCCGCCGTGCTGATCCATGAAACATGACTCTTTCTTTAGATTTTAATACATTAAATGACACACCCAAACCGGATCTGCCTTACGTCGAAGGTTATGAATTTTCTGCTCTCGAATTCAGCCCACCTAAACCCCAAACTAAGCCAACCTTCGGCCTTACTCCAGAAGAAGCTTTTCAAAGGGAGAACACGGACGTCTTAGCGCGCTGCCTGGCCAAGAAGGCTTTTCCTGGTCAGCCGGGCTCTCACACCTTGCGCTTGAAGATAAGAGAGCCTATCCGAGTAGGCGATGGAAAGACCTCGCAAATTGTTCTAGTGGACGTTGTTTCTGGCCAGGGTGCTACACCTATTGTTGCAAAAATATACGACCCGCTGTATTATGATCATTCTAATGATGATGTGGATCCCTTCCTCTATGTTCACATTGAACACAGTCGGGAAACTGCTGCTTACAGGCACTTGCAGGCCTGTGCAGAGAAACATGTTCCTGAGTATTATGGTTCTTATACCATGGACATCAGTTATTCCAACGGACAATTTCGTACGGTGGGATTGATACTGTCTGAATATATCAACGGAGAATCTATGGATACACTGCAGCCACAGAACTTTACGCAGCCCGTTCGAAAAGCCATTATGCAACAGATTGTTAATGTAGAGTCTCGACTCTACGAGGATAATTTATGGCACCGGGATACAAGTCCACGGAATATCATACTCTCGACTTCCAGCCTGCATATCACATTTATTGACTTTGGTCACACGTCTCTCGGTCGATCTCGTGACCCAACGGACAAGGATCAAGAAAGCCGATTTTTACCGGGAACGTATATTAGCCCTATGTTAAGGTGGTATAGGACTCGTGGTAGAGAACCTGTTTCTAATTTCGAAGAGTGGATAGACTGGGATTGGAACAGCTGGCTATTCGAGACCTATGGTTCAGATAGAAGAATGATCAATGCTGATATGATACAGAGATGGGTGCCCCCGAGTGCGCGACAGGAGGTTGCCTCCAAACTAGGATAACTCCACGCAGTGCTTATGTTTCATCCTGCCTTTGCCCATCCTCGCTTATGTCTCTATTGTCTAGCAAATCGATGATTAAGTTATAAAATGAAGCTTTTTCTATTCGTCATTATGCAACCCTCTTGCGTTCGAGGACTTAGTACCTTGTGTTGCTATTGTGATAGAGTCTGCGCTGAACTGTGGCGTCGAACCAGAACAACTATGTCCCAACCAACATTTACTAGTTCGTGTAAGTTATTAGATTATGAGACAGTATTAAGAAGTCAGCTTCGGACCACTCGACAAAGCCCACACACGTATGTTTAGAAACTGCCTATTGGAAATTCTTGTATGTGCAGACGACAAACCTCGGAGTAATCCGTTCACATATAATAAAGTGGGCAAAAATTGAGGAGCAATTGTCTGCAGCGACTCTGGCGAGATGCTGCGTCTTGGAGGCACACAAATCATTTATTCCCCACGCCGTGTCCAGATAATCTTAGATAGCCTGCCGCTTGATCTTGCATGTGGCTCAATAAGTTCAGTCGCGAGTCACCTTTCGGATATTCTCGGCGACGTTCGTATGTGAAATTGTGACAGCGGGATGTGTCTAACATCATCTCTCGGGCTCATGTCGCCATCGCAGTCCCGCGGCGAGATACTGAGGTCGTGCAACGCCAAGACAAGACCAGGATACAATAAGGATGAATTTAATGCGCCCCTTGGTGATCTAATCTATTAACCGCCTAGCGCTGTAGGGCAACGTGCAACTGATAGCAGGTCAAAACCACATTGCCAATCACATCATTGCCACCATAATGGCATACTGCTAAGGTTACATCTGGATCCTCCATTTCTTTTGATGTGTGCCATGTTGGCCATACTATATATTTCTACGGTGGCACTTCCGTACCCATTTTGGCGAAGGACTTGCATATAGTCCAGTGCTGTGACAACCTGCGGAACTGAACCATGGGTTAGTGACCATAATTTGCTCGCCTCTATTATCCGAGCCAACTTGAATTAACCGGTCATTAGCTCCTCAGGGTACGATAGAATCAAATTCGCTCAGTGAGGGGAAGAAAGCGGCGGTCACTATATCGGACGAAGAAAAGGCCTCTCCATCCGCGACGGAACCTGTCTACGATGGCGACCAGTATTTGGGCCAAGCGCCCACCGAGGAGGAATTAAATACTTTACGCAAGGTACCCGGCCCGATATCCGGGTCCGGATACTGGCTCTGCACCGTTGAGTTTGCAGAGCGTGCCTCCTATTATGGCTGCACCTGGGTCTTCCAGAATTTCATTCAATATCCTCTACCCCCCGGTGGGAATGGCGCGGGAGCGTCAGCGCCAGGGTCGGAAAAGCCAGCAGGAGCATTAGGGCAGGGATTGCAAGTCTCGTCCGCACTGACGCTGTTGTTCAAGTTCCTTGCGTACTGTATTCCCATCTTTGGCGGCTGGCTAGCTGATACGAAACTGGGACGATATAAGACAATCTGTATCGGGGTGGCGATTTGCGGTGTTTCGCATATTATCATGGTGGTCGGTGCGATTCCGAGCATATTGCAGGCTGGCCATGGCATGGCTCCGTTCGTGGTCAGTCTGATAATTCTCGCATTTGGAGCGGGTATGGATACAAATCCCCGTCTTTATGTCCACCGAGATCTAACAAATGCTATAGGTATGATCAAGGCTAATATTTCCCCGGTTGTTATGGAACAAGTCACTTTTAAGCATCCTTACATTAGAACTCTCAAGTCCGGAGAACGGGTCATTGTCCACCCCGAAACTACGATCCAGCGACTTACACTTACATTTTACGGTAGGCGGACATCAATTGATTCTACATGTCAAATGAGAGCTAACATTATCTTCATCCTTATAGGTCTGATCAATGTGGGCGCTTTCTTCGGGCTGGCGACCAGCTACTCGGCGAAGCGTGTCGGATATTGGCTGGCATACCTCATTCCCGGCATCATGTACTTCTTGATGCCAGTTATACTGGCCTTGGTATACAAGAAGACGATCAAAATGCCTCCGCAAGGGAACGTCCTCGGTGACACCTGGCATGTCATCAAACTAGCGATCCAACAAAATGGGTTCCGGAAGTTCGGATCGGAGGTGTACTTCAACTCAGTGAAGCCATCGGAGCTTGCGCGGCAGGGTATCGCCTCATATAAGGGGAGGCCGATCAGCTGGAATGATGGGTTCGTGGACGATGTTCGACGCACGCTCGTGGCCTGCCAGATCTTTCTCTTCTATCCCCTGTACTACCTCAACAACGGAGGCATCGGAAGTATCACCAACTCCCAAGCCGGATCAATGACAACTAAAGGGGCGCCCAACGACCTGGTCAGCAACTTCAATCCTCTAGCTATCATCATCGCGTCTCCGATCCTCAATTACGGTCTCTATCCCTTACTCCGTAGGCATAGGATCGAATTCGGCCCCATCAAACGTATCACCCTCGGCTTTATCCTCGCTGCCTTAAGTTGTGTCATCGGTGCCATCCTCCAATGGCGCGTCTACGAAACCTCACCTTGCGGCTACTATGCGACAGAATGTGACATTGGCGACGGCGTCTCCACCCTCTCCGTCTGGGCCCAAACCCCAATGTACGTTCTTCAAGCCCTATCGGAGCTCTTCGCCATCGTCAGCGGTTACGAGCTGGCCTTCTCGCGGTCGCCAAAGAGTATGCGAGCGTTGGTCGTCGCTCTTTTCCTGTTTACGTCTGCCGTCTCGTCTGCAATTAGTCAGGCTGTTGTTCCGGCGTTGGCGGATCCGCACCTGATTTGGCCGTTTGTAGGCACTGCTGTCCCGGGAGTGATATTCGCGGTGGTGTTTTATTGGATCTATCGCGGTCTGGATAAGGAGACGTTCCTACGGGACGATTCAGATGGTCAGCAGGAGATTCTGTCGGAGAAGGACAAAAATTAGGATAGTGATTGGTGGTATGAGTCAGATAGGGTTCTACTATGAGTTATCCGCGTGGTGCTAAAATAATACTCAGCTTCATTCTGAGATGTACGTATTGGAAGAGTCAACATACCATGAGATTGCTGTATGCATCTCCCAGCTACCTGGACTGGGGGAAAGAAGACGCCAGACCTGGCTACACTACTTGGTCACTACGAAAGTTTGATGGTCCTGGACCCTGAAAGCCTAGAATTGAACGGCATTTTTTCTAATCTCTTGATCATTGGCTCAAGGTAGCTCAGAGTGACATGTATTCGTTAGAGCCGTCTCGGATGAAGCGGAAGACATCGAATGGCCCATGCTGAAGGTCCCGGTCAAGCTCGATGACACTAGCACGACCGCAATTTAGACCCAAGGCCAACTGCATCCGTCAATGCAACCACGTCAAGTCCCTCCAGCTTTTTGCTCTCTTTACCACTGGGCTATTCAGTACCCCATGGCCAGTGCCCCCGAGAAAGTCCTACCTCATCATGAGAAGGTAGAGGCCTATCCGAGCATGCCGTGCGCGTACATAGAGAAGGGAGTTGATCCGAAGATGCAACGCTACATCCTATCTGAGACCTCGTCTCCACTCGATACTACCGCCCTAGTAGGCGTCTCTGCCATGTAGAGCACGTCTAAGGAAGGGTGTCAGTGGGTAGAATATGTCATCCCTAATCTAGAGCATAAAGACTTCCAACGTGGCAAGCGAGATGGCATTCGAGACTTGTCCAGGACAACAGTTCAGTCTACGTTCGCAGCGAAACAGCCCCAAAGCGGAAAGCCATTGCCAACTTTCAGTAGGACTGGACCTGAGGCATGTGTACCATTACGCTGTGTTATGCCAGACGTCCATGGAAGTCTATTTCCGGAAGATGTACTACGGATGGCACGGATATAGACACCTGTCATCCAGACAGCCCAGCCCAGCCAGCCAACGTGAGTACCGTAGAAAAATAACATGTGGCATGCGCCACTGCGTCAAAGGCTGTTATCATGAACTGCAACTCTTTGCCCAAAACAGATCTCTCAGCGATTCCGCATTGGGAACAAGATGCCATCTCATCCACTTCAGCCAGCCTATACATGTCATGTCGTTGGACTTTGACGCATCAATATTCCGTGAACACTGGTTCTAGACCAGCACCTTGACGATAATGGCGATGACTCTCGCTGGACATGGTCCTGACTTCTGAAAGCGTTCGACATTGAGAGCTAATGTAACCAGAAATTCATGGTTACTACTGTTTATCCGAGAAACGATATTCTACGGACAGGACGGAGAGCTCCTCATTGCATCGATTCTGCTCCTCGAGCTTCAACGACACCGTTGTATGTCGTATTGCAAAGGTTGTCTCTAACGTCAATGACGATCGTATTGAGAGCGTCCATCTCCACCTCGTTGGGAAGCTGAGGGGGATGCGCAAATATTTAAGGGGCGATTGACACAGCCCAAATGCCTCTCTATCATCGCAATCAACAAGATCTCAAGCATCGGTTCTCCAAGTCAATTACAATCAACCAACCACCGAAGTCAACTCTTCATCATGCCTTCCGCTGTCAACCAGAACGGCCCGACCTACGTGCCCCAGCCCGCCCATGCCGGCAAGACCAGCGACCCGGACTATAGCATCTGCGGTCCTCTCTTTGCCGCTGCTCAAAAGGGCGAGCTCGAGAAAATCAAGCAGATCCTCGACGCCGAGCCGAACAAGATCGACGAGCAATGCAAGAAACATGACCTGTACACTCCGGTGATCGTGGCCGCCGTCTCGGGCAAACTCGAGGCCGTAAAGCTGCTGTGCCAGCGACACGCCAATGTCAATCTCCGTGATAGTAACAGCTACACTATCATCAAGTTGACTCTTGACAAAGGCCATAGAGATATCGCCGACTGGCTTGTCGAGGCCTATCCGGACATGATCATCACCGATCCGCGTCTTCCTAAGGGAAAGGAATGGCTCAAAGCTCAGTTCTCCAAGATGTCCAACAACATCGAGGACGAGGCCAGCAAGCCGCCCCAGTCGGTGTTGGATCAGCTTCTCTCAGGCAACCTGAAGCCCGATACCGACCGCACCGTTTCGGAGGTCTACTGGGAGCATATCCTCCTTCGGTATATCGGTGATATCCCGTTAGATATTCAACGGAACTATTCCAAGAAACTCAAAATGGCTTTTTGCGGCACCTTTGATCGCACCTTGCAGGGCCATGAGGGCATCAAGGAGTCTGCAAGGTTGCTGAATAGTGTCTTGCCTACGACCCAGTACAATATCACTGGTACCCATGTCGCTCCGAAGGGTCAGTGGGTGACGGAGCGGTGGGAGTATCATGATTACGACCACAACCTGCAGGTTCTGGATGGTATTGATACGTTCTTGATTAATGAGGAGAAGGGGAAGATTGAGGTCATGTTGATCAATTACAATGTGTATGAGTTGACGTGGATTGATGACCCGGAACGCCCACCTAAGAAGGCACATAACTGACCCCAGTTTGATTTATCTGCTTTTGGCTGATAGATGTGTGAAGTGGCGAACAGTAAGGACAGGTGGGAAGAGGTAAACACAAGAGAAATTTGAAAATCTGAAAAAAAAAAAAAGAAAAAGAAAAATACAAAAAATACAAAAAGAAAGAAAAGACAAGAAAAAAGAGCGTGGAAGATGTAAGATTCGTGGTGATCTTTGTGGAGGGGAGGTCTTGGGGTTTTAGATGCACTGTCGTTAATGTTTAATCTGGGGTTGACGTTGAGATATAAAACTAGAAAAATGACAAAAAAATGGTTTTCGCTCATTTGAGCAGCCGTATATCCTCAACCCTTTCTCTTGATAACATAGTCAACCGATCAAGCAGGTTAACATTGGTGTAGATCACGAGAAGCAGGTCACATTTTTGGCAAATTGTTATCTGGCAATGTATATATAGTATTGTCTTTGCCACTTTACTTTCAAGTCAGGCTACACCAGATTAAGAGTCATGCATGAACATATAAATGAACCATAATAGATTAATCATTGTTATTGGTGCTTATAGAAGAATACATATAAAATCGCTTTTGCACATCAACTGCACTGGTATCCTACATCGTATGAAGCATAGGCTTTCTCTGACCTACAACCTCGAATGGTCTCCTGGCTTGCTGCCCGCACAGCAGGAAGTATCGAAGGCGTTGCGAGACATGGTATCAACGCACACTGAAGAGGGTGGCACCCAAAGACCAGGGTTCTTGACGAAGAAATTCGAAGCGCGGAGCATGATGCCGACAGGCTCGGCTGGCATGATGGGGAAGTCCTCAGTACGTGGGAAGTGGGTCAGGCCAAACTGGAGGTAGCAGACGATATCAGTGTTCTCGATAGACTCGTTCCGCTTGGCCCAGTCAAGGATGGTCTGGTTATGAGGGTGGTTCTCCTGACCGGTCGACTGGCAGACGAAGTCTCCAGCAGGGTATAATTCATAATCCTTGTAGGGAAGCACCCAGAGAGGCTTCCGTGCGAAGGCTGCGCGGTTGTGGACGACACCACCGGGCTTCGCTAACAAGGGAGCAGCGGCTGTGTTGATGATCTTGAATCCAACGGGCCTCTTCGAAGCTGGGTTAATCGAGTTCGGGTTGATGATATCCCAGGTTCGTTGCGTTTCGTAGCAGTAATCAGCGGCGCCTTCCAGAGACGTGCGCAGGGGTGTCTTCTTGCTGTAGAATGCATTGCCGTAGAAGTTCTGGGGCGATCCCACTGGGTAGTCTGATGCAACGGCGTCGTTCTGAACCACGGAATTGTTCTGGCCGTCCACCTCAGGATCGATACGCAGCGAGAAGATGTGCTGATGGTTATGGGCAGTGATTCGAGAAGCCACCTCGGTTCCGTACGGGGCAGCCTGTTCGGTGGAGTGCAGGGGGTAGGTGTTCAACATGCCGGTAAGCTTCATTTCCAGCTTGTAGGTTCCGTCGAGAGAGAAGATATGGTAGAATCCATAGTCATAGTTGGCCGCCGTGATGATTTGCGAGATAATCAACTTGCGATCACGAGCGGAGATCACTGTGCCGTCGCGGAAATCAGTGTGCTTATACAGAAGACCATTGTCCTCCTCATGGATACAGATGGCGTTCTTGACCACTGCTGCTTCGCCACTGGCCAGGGCCATCACTCCGTCCATGTAATGAATCGCACCCTTGCAATCACAGCCTAGCTTCAACGAGTTGCTCATGAAGCCACTTCCGTACTCGCCGACATCAAAGGCATGCTTCTTGTGGTGTGGCTTCTCCGGGCAACCGTACGGTACCACCATCTCGACCACGCTGATTCGGTTGAACAAGGTACGTTCGCGGTCTTGATGCATATCATGCGCGCGGACATCGGAGATGACGATACCCTCTCGGTAGTTGAATCCGATGTGCATCTTGTAGCCGGCCCAGGACAGCTCATTACCCTTCACCTGGAACGAGACACCCTGAGGCTGGACAATATCGATCGGCTTCAGGCGGTCATGGTTGTACTTGTCTCCGATAAACTGGGGCAGGTAGTTGTGCTCGGTAACCGGCATTGCCGTGCGTTCGCCGTTCACGTAGCGGATGTCCACACTCAGGATCTCCTCCCGCTCGGTATCGGCCACAACGGAGAAGTCCAGAGGGTGGGCGTACTGGTTGTCGAACTCAGAGTTACGGTAGTATGCCAAACCCTGCTGGAGACGGCGCTCATAGCCCCATCGCTCGTCCATACCAATCGCCCAGGCATCGATGAACACCTTGGACATGTCAGTGATTCCGAGACCCTTGCATGCTTCGATGACGCGATGATCCTTGCGCGACATCTCCTCCAACTTGTCCAGGTCTTCGAGGGTCAGCGTTGGCATGACATCGTTGAGGTCCTTCCACTCTTCGACCTTGGACGTGGTCAGATTCGCAACGGCCTCGGCGATCTTTCCGGACTGCCTGTCAATGACAATGGCATACGCGCGACGGTCGGGACGTGGCCCATTTCCTTGCTTGAATGCCGTATACTCCTTCTTCTTCGGCTCACGAAGAGTGATGCAGTTAAATTTGAGTTGCTTCGGGCTGGCATACTGGCGGAACAAGGCTGCCGCCACGGGGATTTCCGCAATGGAGAGCTGATCTGCGATCCCATTAGCGTCCGTTTCGAATTCTGAAGTGCTATGAGAAGCTTACCAAGTGGGTGAGGAGTTCCCTGTGGTGTCACTGCGGCAGCGGCGGCACTGTCGTAGTCTCCTTCACGGAAGATCGTGTAACCTGGGATTGATGTTGTGTCTGGCGCCATGGTGGATCTATTTTTGGTGAACAAGGTGGTAGTGTGTGACTGCGATGGCCATGCCAAAGTAGACCTGGGGAACCGCGGGGAAATGGGCTTTATATAGCCCCAAAAACCAGCGGCGATGTTCTACAATCGCCTCGAGCTTCCCTATCCGGAAATTCGAGCCCCGAGAACTGAAGAATGGCAGTCCCGAGCGAGTAATATCGGTCTGGTGCCACTGGCGGCTCAATCCCGAATTCCAGTGCATGCTAATTAAGCAATCCCTAGTCTTACGTTTAGAATTCTAGGCTGTGCCTTGCGCGGCGGCCAATCAAGGTGGCGTTGTCAATCCACAAGCCTGAAGGCGAATGATAGAACCGGGAAACCTTGGATGGGCCACGACCTGCCCCGGCCAACAACCGTAGCGGCTTGTGGTTAGCGATGCCAATGACATGATGGAATTTTATTTTGTGGGGCATGCATTCGTTTGCCGATCAATAGTCCTTAGGAGAAGCTGGAGGAGACCGGGCCAACTCGCAGCTCGTTTGACCTCGCCTTAGCATTGGTAACTCGTCTGCGTTGTCTCTCTGCCGAATATCTCAAACGATCGCGTTCTGCACGTCGTCGCCCGTTGAGTATCACTCACTACTTACCTCAACACGCAGTTCGGGTTCCCACAGGGCCCGAAAGCGTGGATGTGGAGATGTGGACGTCCTCCGGAGCACGATGCCAGAAGGCGACAATTCCCGAACGGACCCCCCGCAATCCGGCGCCAGACTGGATCCACCCTGATCGTGCCATGTGGACATTCTTTAAAGATTGAGTGAAAGCACCTCTGTTGGGCTACACCTGGAGTAGGAAGTCCAGCCGACCGAACCAATTCGGCGCGCCGGGGATCGAGGGCTTGGGTGGAGCCCTTGGGCGCAATTGGCCGCGATTGGTCCGTTGGCGGCAATCAAGCGAGATAGCTTGCCACGACGGCGTCTGTACGTGGCCACCCTTGTTATCTGGGGTCTGGACCGGATTTTTGAGTGATTGGATGATTTGCTGGACCCTGCAAGAGAAGACTTGGAAAACATCCCGCGGAACCCGAGGATACGCAGCTGGGACTTTAGGGTCAATATGATTCTCCCTGGATGCCAACGGCTGCATTCCACCGTAAATCTGTTAGTCAATATAGCTCTGTGCCTTTCTTGAGTATCTCTGTAATATGGACATTCTTTTATTTGATTGTATTTTATATTTCTAAAATAATCTCATAAATATCACCAAACTCGCTATGACACAGAGAAAGACATGAAACAAGGGAACACGAAGAAACGGGGCATACCAACTGGCGAGAAAGATGAGCCGTGTTTTTGCCTGAGGAATCGATTCTTTCGCATACCGTGTGGTGTGGTGATATGTACTTGACCAGTGTCGCAAGAGGGTTGGGGAACGCATCGGAGCTCTTCCCAGTCTAAGATTTCCATTCGCCAAAGTAATTCGGAACATTAGTAACAAAGTCAAACCAATGTTATTATCGACCGGAACGTGTGAATGTCAGGAGGTCCAAACTGGGCCTGTGTTCCGACATGCCAGCCAACTCGCTTCAATGTCTTAGGGTCATCACCAGCCGGGGTCACGATGAGAGAAAAATACCAACCCCTGATCCCTATCCCGACGTATTCGGCAAGAACCAAGCTAAATAGCCTCATAGTCTTGATAAGACCGAGCGAAACATCGAGTTGGTTACTGATGGTGTCAAACATCAGATAAAACCCTTCATCCGCTTCATATATTGTCTGAAGACCTGTGGTGCCCTTCGCCACCAGGCCCTCGTAATCTACCAGGAAGAGAGGGAAAAGAGGCGCTTCGATCTTGATCCAGCCGCCTCTTACTCGTCCAAAAGGGTTGTCACCGTCTACATCGACTTGTACATCCAGGACTGACGCTATGGGGCTGATCTCTCTATAGAGTTCATTCATAATACCATCGACAGAAGCCCATGACCAGGATGGCGCCCGATACTCGCGTACTGCCCTACACTTGCCTAAAGGTTGCCAAGTTAATCCTTCCACGAGAGAGTTCCCCCAAAGTCCTGCTACATAAGAGTCTCCCAGCACCTTGCCGTACTCTTTCGCGATGCCAGATATCGCGGGTAGTTTGTCGGAAGGAAATGTCAGGCTACGCCGACTATAGAGTGCCACTAGGCGGTACCAGTGGGCACGCATATTTTGGGGCGGTACTGTGCCATATCTGCTCCGGTCGGCGATCGATCTATACGGGTATCCGTTTGTATAACCCACTTCGGGTCCGTCGATTAGCTCGAGGCCATCTTCCGAGATGATATGTGTTTCACACACGAAATACACTTTATCACTCGCAAATATCAGACTTCGCTGCGAGAATAGTCGTTCCTGAAAAGCCCATGCCCTTTTAGAGAGGGGCTCCTCGTTCAATTCCAAAGCGTTCCGTTTGCTGAAGTCTGAAAAGGTTGGCAGCAAGCAGGCCTTGACATGCCCTGCGCAGGTGTTGCTCGTGTGAGGAAGACTTACACTGGGCCTTGGATTTCTAGAAGGCACAAGTCCCTCCTGGCTGTTTGCGGCACAGGTCGCTGACAGGCATAGGTAGGCATTCCCATAGATTGACCCCATGTTGGCAGATTCTCGCTCCCAATCCTGGGGGTCATCTTGGTAAATGCAGAGGCGGTCGATCCACAGGTACTGAACATGAAGAGCTCGTGTCATTAGTATCGCATCTTGAAAGGTCTGTGGTAGGTCTTGTAGGAGCATCCCTTCCTTCTTGGACGCAGCGTTGAGGCGTGTTGTTGCGGAAGTCCTGTCTCCACCCCAACAATAGCTAAGGGTCACATAATGCCCACGAGTCTCACCACCTGGCTCGACGAGCTTCACCAGATCTCCCGAGCCTTCGCATCCCACATCAATGAGCCTAGTCGGTAGGGGCCTTGGCGGCATAGCGCACGACCGGTGTTGGTTGTTGCAATCGGCGATCCAGCCAGCAAAACGACGACATGCTGCGGTATCCAGAGCATTTTTGGGTTGGCGTCCCCGAAACACGGTAGCAAGAGGGTCGTCTAAGCTACATTAGCGGAACCATCATCGTCGGGTATTAAGCCTGACTACACCTTCGTCACAGCAGAAGACCATGACAGCTACCACCAGTGCGTCGTACCCACTTCCCCGGTCCATATTGCTGGCAGTAAGCACAGCAAAGCCATCCCCTCCGTTAAGGCGCCTGGTCAACCATAAATCAAAGCGTGGACGACGTGCTACTAGTTCTGATGGCATATTTTGCGGATGCTCCATTGCTTGGATCATGCGGTTCACCTGGTCCTCCAGAATATGGCAGAGCTCGCACCCTGCCGCCGATGCCCGTCGCAAGCTGTCTATATTCGGGTGATGAGGGAAGCCCAAATCATCCCGTAGCGGTCGGTTGTCGTTATTACCTAGCGCTATGATCGACTGATGGGGCCCGAGGGCGATGATGTTGTCTAGTCTCGGGAACGCGGGGAGGCCTTCTAGAGGGATGCTTTGACATAGCTCACATAGAGTCATTGTGTGTAGCTGAAACGAGTAGGTCTAGATGGTATATAAAAGTAATATTCAAGCTCAAAGTGAGGAGAATCAAAGGACTCCCCCTTCGTCGCTGTTCTCTCGTTAGCTATTTGAAGTCCAATATTTGCTCTACGTATTGTATTAGTCGACCCCGCACGGGTGCCACGTAGCTGAGGCTGAGATGTAAGAAAATATTTCTGTCAAATATATACATGGAGTGATTTCTAACATTAAAAGGGGCTCAGGAGACATGAATCATTAAGCAAGTAAAGCACGCTCAGTATTTCTCAAACCTGGCTATTGACCTCCATTTCATGCGTGGCACTAGGCTCATATTTGCGAGTCACGACGAACTTTTCAAAATACTGCTCGCCCCGGTCCAAAAGGCAGTTGACTTGACTGGGATGAATGTAGTTGAGAACCGCCATAGCAAAAAACATCAGCAGAGCGTCGAAGACGTAAATGAAGACTTCATGTTTCATGAGGAAGCCGTCGTAGCCATCCAGATACTCCACGACACGAACCACGGACCGTACCAAAATCAGAACACTAGTCACGTAGAGTGCAACCATATGTCGACGCCAGATACGACCTGCCTCAGGAGATGCGCTAATGTGTTTCTTCGCCATGCGCAGCTCAAAGACAATAGCGGTGATCACGAAAAAGCCGAAGAAGATGATTTGTACGAACAATCCACCGATAATAACGTGTTCTCCGGTGCTGGGATCATCTGCCGATACCATAAGACCGGCGCCTGTATGTTGTTAGTTTTTGATTCTAAACAGGGGGGCGAGATGTGTATATGACTGAGGCAGTGTCAACGTACCAGACGCTTGCATCAGGAAGGATAACACATCACCCGCCACGAATATCTTCGTCAGCCAGCGAAGGGGAATGACCGAGTATTGTTCTGCCTGAAGCATAGTAATGATGCGGCCCAGGGTCATGTAGATACTAGCGGCGAGAAAGGCTGGTGCGATCAGGATGAGGGCGCTCTGCATGATATAGGGGCCCTTGGTGTAGTTGGGAGCTTCATTTGTTGACAGTACACGGCCGACATAACCAATTGCTTCGACTAGGGACCACTTAGTAGAGCTCTCTCAGGAGCTTGAGGCCATGACTTACGGATTCCGCCAATCGCAAAAGGGATCATGAACCATGTCCGTGTGCGGAGTAGCTGATAGAAATGGAGCAGGGTGCTGAGGGCAAATAGTGCAACGAAGATGCCTCCAGCAGCACCGGATGGTGTGTAGTAGTAGAATGTGAACTCCATTTTCGAAAGTATGGTGTATTCCAGCACGACAGATTCAAATCGGAATATAGCGTGGTAGTCTTCGACGGCACACGCGATCTCTGGCAATGTCCCATCACCCACAACGGGGGAAGAGACACCTTAAATAGAGCCCGGCATGCATCAGACCTTCGTTGCAATAAAGTAGTAGGGACGAAAACGTGGTGGCTACCCCTATAGTGTATTGCGCAAAGCAGATAACCTAGTGGGCGTGATTTTCTACATGTGGCCCACATTAGCCTCGTTCTCGTATTCTTTGCCATTTCCAGCGGCGGAAGTTATGCGTCCCCTTAAATTGCCACCAAAGCCAGAAATAATCGCATTTGCTATCCATGCTATTCCCTCAGCCGTGCGGTATGGAATAATTGAGGTATATAGATGAACTAGAACAGTTCAATGTCTCACCGAAAATTCCCTGGAGGTCATACGCACTGCCCTTCCGGAAGAGATATCCCCATGGTGCTTCGTTAATGGACCTGGAATTGATGACTGTCCATAGTTAGTTGTAGTACCAGCCATTATCTATATTATAGAGAGCTACAACAATACTATCAAGTTGTTAGAATTCTCTCGTCGGCAAATCTATACGTGGGTCTCCCGTTGTGGATTCCAACCAACATCGAGACAACAAAATTTCTATGGCTTGGCGAAGGTTAAATCGAGATCAAGAGGCAGCGCCATGAACGGCAAAGGATCCCGATCCTGTGATTGGACACCTGCCAAATTGAAACTTATCGTACTAGGAAAGAAAGGTGGGGAGGGCGCGAGCTTGTCGTACTTCGTATCCATCACCACTTCAGGTAGCCTGGGGCTGGACTAACGTCTCCCACCGGTTAAAGACCCAGTTTTCTCGGCCATGTTTATGGTTCTATGAATACCCAAATATAGAGTAAACAAAACGGATCAGGACCTTGAAACAATATGGAAGCCTTGGTATTTTCAGTGTCTGCTCATATATTTTATCCAAAATCCTACCTGACAGCTCTTCCTATCTTGCCATTCAGCATCGCATTGGTCTTATTCGAACTACGAATTGTCTGCCCAGGATTTACCTCTCTTTTACTTTTATCCGAACGGCATCATGGGATACCAGTTCTACCATTATAATCCATCGGGAGGTGCAGCAGTTAGCTTTGCTGCTGTCTTTGGTCTTACAACGGTTATACACATCTGGCAGATGGTTCGATCCAGGACATGGTATTTGACGCCGTTTGTTATTGGTGGTATATGTATGTTCTGTTAGCCCTTACCGGCTATACATTGTGGGAATATGCTGACATATCTACCTCACTTCAGTTGAGGCTATCGGTTACCTATGCAGGTACATCAGTTCGACCGAAACACCGGACTGGACGATGAAACCATACGTTGGACAGAGTCTACTACTGCTCCTAGCGCCAGCCCTGTTTGCCGCATCCGTATACATGATCCTCGGACGCATTATTCGAATGCTGAATGCCGGCTCTATCTCCCTGATCCGTCCATCATGGTTGACCAAGATCTTCGTGACCGGCGACGTGTTATCCTTCTTAGTACAAAGTGGAGGTATGATCATTACTATCAGCCCTTAGAGAAAACATTAACGATAGGATATATAGGAGGAGGCATGCTGGCTCAAGCCAAGTCGCAAGATTCAGTAAAAATGGGCGAGAACATGATCATTGGTGGCCTATTTATTCAGATCATCTTCTTCGGATTCTTCATCGTCGTTTCGATTGTCTTTCACCGTCGCATGCTGTCCACACCTATGCACCACATGGTGGTCACTGAAGTCCCGTGGAACCATTATATGAAGATCCTCTATACCGTCAGCGTTCTGGTTATGATCCGATCGATATATCGTGTGGCCGAGTACGTCCAAGGGAGTGCTGGATATCTGCAGAGCAACGAGGCTTTCATCTACGTGTTTGATGCGGCATTGATGTTCGCCTGTTGCATCATTCTCAATTGGTGGCACCCTAGCAAGATCGTTTCTTCCAGGAAGAAGATCGACAATGGTGCTGACCTTGAGATGTTGAATAACACCCAGTATGATCACGCTCAATATGGGCGTTACTGATCGGTTTCAGTTCAGCCGGAGAATTTCTCCACTGGGATCAGATGCATTTGAACCAAGATCTAGCAGTTGATCTTAGACCCTTCCCCGTTGTATCATTACATACCTCTAGTAGATATTTGTTATAGTGAGCGAAGGATTCGGGCAAAGTACTTTAAGTAATTGGTCTCGATGGTCTTCTACCTATATAGAACACAGATACCTGACCAAGAAGACGTATATTGCGAGACCTTGAAAAGTATCATTATGGTTCACCTTCGCTCAAGTCTAACAGGTACATCCGATCGCTTACGCCATATAATGTATTATTTATCCGAACCTATCCGGTCTCATTTCACCCCGGTCCATCGAATCCTGCCCGAGTCTGACCGGTACTCCGGATCATTTCCCTTGTCCGGTGCCTATCAGTTGTAGGATCTACTTTTAAACCATGCCCGATTCGTCATAATGAGGTTACATTGCTCATATCGAGCCAGTTAGCTTATTATCAGGTGGGTGGGGGTTCAAGAGGTATTTTGTCCGGAAGTCAGAGCTCCAATTATCTTTGACATCCTTCTTCTCTTGATCTTCCACCCTTTCCCCCTTATTGCCCAGACGATAAACCACACATGCGTGTCCGGCTATCCACCGGACGGATGCGTATCCGAGAATTTCTTCCTGACCTCGACTTGGGAGTGTACCCCCCGGGACCGCTGAATTCCATCAGCGACGTGCAGGGGGTTCAGGTCCATACCCAGGAGATATTCGGTGCCAAGGGCGCCATCAACACTGGCGTGACCTGCATCATTCCTCGCCCCAATTGGGCTACTAGTGCCTGTCACGCTGGGATCTTCCGCTTTAACGGCTCGGGAGAACTCACGGGCGCGCACTCCATAGAAGAGGCGGGCCTTCTCTATTCGCCGATTGTTCTCACTGGAACCTTTGGGATTGGAGCCGCCCATCAAGGGATATATCAATATGCCGTGGAGAACCTGGGGTATAACAGAAATGCCCAGCTGGAGTGGCTGATGTTGCCCGTGGTGGGCGAGACGTTCGACGGGTACTTACATGACTGCGCGTCATTTTCTGTGACTCCTGAGCATATTGTGCATGGCTTAGAGAATGTGGTGGCTGGGAAAACAGTTCCAGAGGGTAATGTGGGTGGCGGCGTTGGCATGGTATGCCACGGGCTGAAAGGGGGCACTGGGTCCAGCAGTCGCCGGGTTCTCGGAGACTACACGGTGGCCGCGTTGGTCCAGGCCAACTATGGGCAACTAAAGGATCTCCGCATTGCAGGGGTTCCGGTTGGGAAGATACTAGCTGGAGAAGTTGCGAGCGACCCAGTAAGGCATGGGATGTATGAGAAAGCGCGCAGGCCAAAGCCCACAAGGACGGCAGTATAATCGTTGTACTGGCGACAGATGCGCCTCTTCATCCCGCTCAGCTGCAACGCGTTGCGAAGCGGGCAACAGTTGGTCTCGCTCGCGTTGGTGGCCAGGGACACAACCAATCCGGGGACATATTCCTAGCTTTCTCTACGGGGAACGAGATACCTGTCAACCAGCACCAGCAACCCGCTCCAGTGACACGGGTGATAGACGTGGTAGATGATTCCGCTCTCAATAGTTTGTTCGAAGCGACAGCCGATGCGGTTGAAGAGGCAATCTACAACGCACTCTGTATGGCGGAAACCCTTACGGGGTTCCTAGGTCATACAGTCGAGGCACTGCCCCTTGTCCGCGTCAAGGAGATCATGAAACAATATCACAGGGCATAGCATGGCGAGCTAGTATCAGGCTGGGTATGAGCATCCGCAATTTTCCGTGTCCGAATAGGTCCTATACATATGTTGCTGGTTGTGTCTTGACTGATATCTAGCAAGGCATTTCTACAACGAGCAGCTGGAAGAAAGGGTGTCTAGTGATTGCCATCTTTCTACCAATACCTACAACACGATCTGTACTGGATCACTGGAATAATATTTCGTAGAGTAACAAAGATTTCTCATCTGAACCTTGTAGTAACATAAATGTGAGATGCTCTCGTATCGTGTCAGAAGGACTAACCACATGGTGGCTAAGTTACAAGGCCTCTCTTATCAACAAGGGGACTTGGAGCTCCCTACTCCAGGGAGTGAGCCATGTTGCTTATAGTATCGTCGGTCGCGGACACAGATGAACGAGAGGAAGCCAGCGAAGCCGCTGCATCAAATCCATTCGACATGTCAGTGTTTTCCTTATGCACGCCAACAGCAGTTCGCAGAACCAAGACACATACCATAACACAAGAGCCAATATAACTATAATAACACCCAATGCACGACTACTGGTACTGTGGGAACCTGAAGTCCCCATGATGGATATGATGAACAGTGCGAACCAGAAGAGGGTATCAATGATGTTCAAGATCATATTGGCTTTGCTACTCGCCCAGCGTTTGAATCGCGCAGCGTGAGCAGTAACGATTTGATATGTCATAAACACTGCTGATTTGACGCACTGTATATATGCAATGTTTTCAGTTAGTTGAAGCTAATAAGGAGAATCGCTCCTCACAGTGTATAAGTGTCAATCACTCACCACCGCGATACCCCATGTGTTGGTCCGACTTGACGGCGTACCCTTATCAGCCACTCGTGCGATGACAAGGATGAAGGTAAGCAAGAGCAAGGAGCCGATGATGATATGCAATCGGAACTTGATTTTAGGGCTATTATCGATTGAGAGATTCATTTTGATCGTGTCTTTCTTTGGGAAGCGACTCCGGCTATTATCACCCAGGAATTATGAGAAAATGGCGAGAATCTAGTAATATAAACAAGAATATGGAAAGACAATGATGCTAATCAATTATGATTGTGATACATTGTTCACTTTATAACACACATGCCCTTGATATATATATGTCTAGTTTCCCATACCTACGTCGCACATCGTACTCGTTTAGACGTCGCCAAGGCGACAAGCTGCGTAGTCTTCTGGAATAACTTCATTTTACATGTATCATACCGAAGAACCGTTTATTCTGATACCTAGGCCAGGCATGGGAGACACAAATCGGCACCATTCAAACGCTCGGTCCAATTCCTCCTCTTGGCGCATTCTCGCATTCGTATCGTTAACCCTAACAGGCTATTTTGACCCACCGGCTCGAAATCGTTAGAGATTTCAACCACTCACAACACAGTAGCAAAGTGTCATGGAGACCCAATACTTTGGATCTGTCTATGGAAGAGAGAGGGCTGGGGCGGGCATTGCGAGGCAAAGTCGCTACGAGGGTTAACATCGGTTTGATTGAACATTTCGCCGCTGTTGTTCCTGGAGAAACATATGGAACACTCTTTGGGTACTACCGTTGGATCAATACTTCTATTTCACATTAATGAAACTATTCAATTGCAGAATTTGGAACTTGAACGAACGTTTCAATAGCCATCACAGATAATATGTACTTCACGCGGTGCTGTGCGTCAGTGAGTGCAAGCCTCAAAATGCTCAATATATTCTACAACAGATTGTGAACATGAAGCCCAGGTAAACATCGATGTTATCCTGTTGGTTACTAGGCTATGTCGGGTGTACATATTCCTGGGCAAATCTGTCACCAACATATAGATTCCATTTCAACGCTATGATTACGCTGATGATATGAATCCTGGAGACAAGACAATATGTCATTAGAGTTAATAGTCGCAAAATGTGTCTCTTATAGCTTAAGAAGACAATATTAACAATTCGATTAACCATAAAGTTATAGTTATCGCCCCACCCATCGAAGGCCTACTGACTCGACAGATGGCATCTGCAATGTAAGGCCCACGATACTATTCTGTATCAAGAAAAGTGCATGAGATCTTGTCTGGTCCATGGTTTGATCAGGAGATGGCACTAGCTCCACACGGTGGTGTTTAAAAAGGCGGAGAAGAACTGCGCAGACCTCGATCTGTGAGAATTTCTGTCCTGGACAGAGCCGCGGCCCGTCTCCCCAGGCAAAGAGGTACTGGGGCAATTCATTGGAAACAATTCCCAGAGATGAGCCGGACTCCTTCAATATCCACCGATCGGGCCTCCAGGCCAGAGGGTCAGGGCCCCATTGTTTGGGATCAGTATGTAATGCTATCGCATTAACATTTATGGACGTATTTTGGGGAATTACGAACTCCCGCTCAGGTAGCAATAGGGTCTGAGGAGTAGCATCTGTCTTTCGCACTATATTTGGGACCGGGCCGTAGAGCCGAAGAGTCTCGTACTGTATCCAGCATTAGAAACATGAGCGGACTGCACCATAAGGCAGGAAGCTCACCAGGATTGCTCGGAGTCGCTGTGTTTGTGGAAGAATCTGACTATGGAAGGGAATTTCTTCTCCACTGGCTTGATTTTGTGACAGGTTGTCAATCTCTTCTAGTGCCCACTCCTGCCAGGCTGGGAATATCGCCATGAGATGGATAGCATAGATCAAAGCATTTGCAGTGGTCTCGTGGCCGGCGAACATGAAGAGAAAGAGGTTTCCCGTGACTTCATCGCTTGATAAGCCACAATGATCTGTCGGAGCGAGGATTGATGAGAGGAGGTCTGCGTGCGCTGTCTGTTCTGACCGTGCCGTTCGGGCTTCCACAAACTTGGTCAATAACTCGCCCAAGGCTTTATAGCTCTCCTTAAGTTTTTGCATTCCTCGAACTCCTCGCCCTAAAGCCATTGGGTTTGATATTCCGTTTAAAACCACATCTAGATGCGATTGGCAGGCCGCAACGTCGCCTGCTAATATCCTAGCATCATCTTTATCGACTCCATCGATATTAAGGCACGCTTTAAAAAGCACACCCAAACTCAGCGCCAAAATATCGGACCGTGTACTGTTCACAGACTTGACGTTGGCCCATTGCTTTAATACCTTTGTCGCATTTCTCGTCGATTCGACCCAGACTGCCTCGTGTAGCTTCTCGTTGAATGCACGCGCAGTCAACTTCCGGTGACGCTGCCAATCGGCCCCTTCTACCTGAAGCCTGTCAGCTTGTTGTGTTCATGTGTCGTCGTGGGAGCCGCAACGAAAAAAAGATGGGATCGGGAATTCCATACCGTAGCTAGGTTTTTGCCAAAGACATTCATTTTTTCTTGATTCTTTTAGCGACTAACCTGCGTTCCTTTCAGGGAAGATCCATACCTAGTAGGCTACTTGGTTTTGGAAAGTCTCTCCATCGTGAAAGCACTTGTTTTGCCGCGCCTGTATCCGCCACGTATAACTCACATGTCTCCGGCGTAACCAAAATGAATAGCTTTCCATACTCGGCATGGACTGCGAACTTCTCCTGGAATTTCGCGTTTCTGCGCAGCAGTCTAACAAACGGCAATTGAGTCATACAAGTTGGTAGAATATCGAGGTCCAGGATATATCTCAGTAACTGCAATGCTAGACCACTACTCGAGATAGGGCTCAGGATAATAGGCACATGCAGCTCCTTTGCCTGTGTCCAGTTGCGATACCATGGCCAACCCACGTAGATGCACCAGGTAGCAACAACAAAGATGATTACTGACACAAACGACATGTGGTAAAAAGGGTAGCGACACTGGACGTCAGGGGTGTTGAGAAGTGGGAAAGGCTCAATTCCAGCGCACGCAAGCTAGGTGGACAGAGATCAGTTCCAACTTATCTTAGTCTCGAAGCCCACTTAAGCCGCTGTGGAATATATATATGAGCTTAGCTCTAGCTAGTTCAGGGATCTGGCCATGCACAGACCGAGCGAGCCACAATTTGTAGTGATGACTCTTGTTTGGAAACAAAAACCATGCTCACTGGTGCGACCTGACCCTTACCAACTTACCAACTGCCTCGGCGTAGATGATGAGCCCCTTTGCGTCGCTGAATGGAGCCGGTGGGTCTTGTAGTCGTACTCGTATCGGTTACTCAAAAGAGTGAAAACTGCCGTCGGATGTGGCGCGTTTGAGGGCGGCAGAATCCCGCACGGATGAAGCAGGCGGTGGAGAAGCGGAGCCCTTGGGTGTGGCGTTTTCTCGAGGCGCCAGAAACTTTGAGGCAAATGACTTCACCAGTAATCCAGGCGTGTCTATCATTGGGATGATGAGCCGCTCGTACCTTTCTAGAAGTCCGTGAAATGCCCATTCGTCGACCCCACCGGAAATCCAGACATGGCTGCAAGGCCTGTAAACGACGAAGAGTGAAGGTAAGCTACTATCCTTCCACTCCGGTGCTTGGCACGATGTAGTAGATAGACAGGAGCACTAGGTCTTCATCTTCAGGGATGCCAATGGTTGTGCTCACCATTGAATGTTACAAGGTCTCATCTCCTAATTTGTCTCTTTAAGTGCGATGAAGTACGACCGACCTGTTCTAATTGCAAACAACGGCAAGAGGACTGTGACTATGGCACAGATACCCCCTATATCTGGGCTACTGAAGGAAGTGTACCTCGGCGGCGGGCGCGAAGCCGGGTGAAGACACCTTCCCATGATCAGGATACTGCGGTATCATCAGCAGATACATCTTTCGACCTGCTAGACAGGTTCGGAACAAATGACACAACGGTCAACCCGAGTCCGGGCCTGGAGATGAATCAGCTGAAGCTCATAGTCCAATGGCAAAGGGATACGTGCCGAGTCCTCGCACGGAATGAAAAAACAAAGCATGTCTGGGGGGTGCTACTGGTTGATGAAGCCTTTAACACGCCGTTCTTAATGCACGGCATCTTAGCTGTGTCCGCGTTGCACCTCTCCTTATCCGAAGACGAACCGCAGAAGTCCTTCTGGCTAGGGCTGGCAACAGCACACAAAAGCCAGGCACTTCCACAGTTTTTGGAAAATCTCCATGGTGTCGATGCAGCGAACGCAAAGGCAATGATGGGCCTCTCTGGGCTGGTGGTTGCATTTGCATTCGGCTCTGCGTTGACCGGAGTCTCTGACGCCGACAAGCCCTGTTTAGGTACTCTACACAACATATTTGTCCTTTGTCGCGGTGTTCAGCAGATTATCAACGTTGCTTCTACTCTACGACACACAAACTTTGCTCCTCTCTTCGATCCAACTCCACCACAAGTTGCTTATCCCGATCGTGCCAAAGAATCGCTCGACCGCCTCGAACAACTTAATACCGCACATGGGACGGGCAGAGGACATGATACTGCTGCATACGCGCGTGCTATTCAAGAGCTGAGAGGATTGTCCGTTCACACGTTTGCTCAGCCAACTTGCATGATGCTGGCTGCGGGGTGGGCTATCAGGGCAACCCCCGAGTATCTCCAATACGTGCAGCGACACGAACCTTTTGCGTTAGTTATTCATGCTCATTACTGTACCTTCCTCCATATAGCGCGAGAAAATTGCTTCCTTCAGTCATGGGGAAGCTGCGTGCTCAGGGAGATCTATCATCTACTGGATTCCACGTGGAGACCTCATATCAGTTGGCCTATTAATGAAGTCTTTGGGGAGAATTGGCTTTGTGAGAATACCATATAACTTCTTTTCTCAGCGTTTATATCCAGCCAGTGCATCTTCCTGATAGCGTTGTCATATATTCAAAGCGTCTTTAACTATTTCATTACTCGTCCCAATGATATAGGTGATTCCACCGCGGGAGTTGATGGGGACCAGAGTGATCAGATCTACAATTCTCGTCAAGAATGTATCTCGATAGCCATTCAAGTGGAGAACGAAGCGAGTATTTGACACTCAACCAACAACATATAAAGTAATTGATTCACGATTCAATAAAGACCGTCCAACGACAAAATCGATACGGAAGATCCACAAAGGCCAGGCCACCAGAGCCCATGGTACGGTCTTGAAAAATCGGCATCAGCAGTCATGCACTCAGAAGACACTGCTGAAGCTCAATCTACCCATAACACCTATGTCGATAACTTATTTAATCACTCCGCCGCCCAAGGCAGTCATACCCAACTTTGCCCAGAATCCCCCCTGTCCCTTCAGAGCCTCATCCATCTCGGCCTTAGATACGGGGTCTACACCCTTCGCTCGCATTTTCTCCTGTTTTTCTAGCGGTATCTTATGAACAGGATGGTCTTTTCCCACTTCATTGTTCATAGTCTCTTCAGAGGGCGTAATTCCCCATTTGGCGGATGGATCCGCGAGCGGCTTTCCTTCCTTGGACTTTTTCTTGGAAGAGCCGAAGACCATGCTTGTAGACTGCAGAAGGTCTGATCGTTTGACAGAGGTAGACAGCAGTCAATTGGGTATAGCGTTCGATGGGTGTATGTTAGGGTTTCGCAAGATATATGCAAGTCTTGGTGAAATAAGGACCAGACATGGTTTATATACCTATCATGTCTCCTGTGACGTGACAGCAGCTCCCAACAGTAATGATGAACGAGACATATTATTGGCGCGAAACTACAAACATGTTAACGTGACTGGATTGCCCGGCAGATTTGACATGGCCATTCATCGTTCCCATCGCTTTTCGGCTTACGTTGGGTTACAGTCTTGGCGGACGATCAGCCAGCCAAATTAATTTGACAAAAGGCAGTGTCTTGATTCTTGACGTCATTAGGCGCTATGGGAATGAGCGTTTTCGAACGGACTCTTTGCGAGCCGAGCGTGAGACTGGAATATGTGTTGTGTTCTCGGAAGTGAAATCTTCTGCAGAATGAGATGTAGCGACTACAATTCTGTATCTAGGTTTCCTCTGGCTTCATCATAGTATGCAATACACTTCTAATTAGAAGCGGTAGTGTTTGTTCTTTTAGAAAAGCTCGAGGACAGTTGAAATACCAAGGCTGTGCGAAACTAGTATCGTAGCAAGTCCTTGTCTTATGTGCGATGGCGGTGGAGGTTCTGGCTTGGATCGATTGCCGAAGAGTGTTCTCCAAGTTGCCATCAAAACATCAGGGAGTCGTGTTGGCGGACCAGATCCCTAGAGCATGTCTTCGCAGAGTTAGCCCGGGGGTATCATAGAAGGTGGAATTGGCTTACAAACTCCATCCACGGAATATTCCATGGTTTGCCTGCCTGTCGCTGTCTTTCGCCCCAAACTCTGGTGAGTAGTTCATCCATTGCAGGGTGGGGAAATCCGGTTGACTCTTTGATCTCACGCATACAGAAATCGACATATCGGTTTTGGTGCGGTATAGATGTTTCGGCACCAGCTATGAACAGAGGGAATAGTAACCTTTTGAACCATGTTGAGTCTGCCGAAATTCCAGCTGAAGCATCGAGGATTGCACGAACAGACGACTGGATGCGGTGATCCTCACAGGGAACACCCCATGTATCTGGGAACCGGAGCACGCGAATGATACAAACATGGCGGTAGGCCTCTGCGAGTTGTATCCACTCCGGATCTTCACCCGGAAACGCAGCGTTGTTGGGATTCCAGACGCGAAAGAACTGTTCCGCATCGTTTAATAGGTCCTGGAAGTCATCCTGGGATAGCCTTCCGTCCATATGTTGCTTTCCTGCGGTGAGAACACATCCTATCTCATAAAACAACTCTACTGGACATCCTACTAGAATCTCTAAATTGAAATGTTCGGCTTCGAAGATGCACCTACGGACATTGTCACTGTAAGCCAACTTTTCCGCGCCGCTGAATCCTCGAAGAATGTCTAGCCTTTTCCAATGGTTAAAGTGAGTTCAATAGGTTCGACTGGTAGCCACACTTACCAGGCCAAGGCTGTTAGGAGAAATGCTGTTCGTGGGGAAGTGATGACCTTGGGCTGCTGGGCGAGCTTTCCGCATATGTAGCCAGCCCCGGTAAGATGCACTCCATGAGACGAAACCCCAGTCTCGCAGATCTGTTGTCATGGTAAGCGTCTGATATATTCCACAACGTCCAAGACTTTAGAAGGAGATTTTAATACTTACATCATAGAGAACTAATAGAATCACAACAGCCAGTAACATGTCCTGCTCATCATCCGTGAGGCCGTATATCTCTTCTTTCATCAAAAGCGAGCTGAGGGATTGCAATGCGGAGAGTTGATGCTCTATCATGCTAGCGACACTGATCTTCTCGGTCTCCCGCTTGCCAGAGGAGGTTATGTGGCACATGGTAACGCCCAGTACAGCATGTAAAATTCCAATGTCATGATATGCAAGAGGAAGGATATAGCCTCGAAATGGATTGTGCAAATCGTCGGTTTCGATTATCAGTGCTCTACATAAAGTCTTATCAACTGCGTTCAATTAGAGTTAGAGACACATCTTTCGTCAATACCTTTGACACTCACAGTAACTGAGGAGCTTTTCAGTCTCGGGCATTGTTAAAATATCATCGATTGTGGCTGCGAGCAAGGGTTTGGCGGTCCCTATCGCATCAGTAGTTGCTCTAGATGCATTTGAGGCCTTGTCTGGCTTCCCCTGCGGTTGGTTCGGTCGACGTATACGCCTTTTGTGGTTGTTCCCAGTTCGGGATTGTTTATTGATCGCCGTCGTATGGTTTGACCGCGTCTCTTGGCCTGGGCTTCCATCGTCAGTGGTGACAGTTTACTGCGCACCCAGTGTCTTACTACTTGGAGATGGCTCGCCTGAGGACAGCATAGAATCGTCCCGCTGTTCACCTTTTGAACTGAGTTGGTCTTGAAAGAAGAGAAACCGCGGAGGATAGCCCTCGCAGTGGAGACCTTTCACCCGACATCTGTTGCAAACCGGGCGAGCGCGGTCACACTTGCGACATTTCTTCCGGCAGGTACCGCAGGCAGGGTCTATTTCGATGATTAATAGGCTTAGCAGCTACTAAGTGAGTTAATGAAGTCGAATCTCACATACTAGTCCGTGATTTCATGACTGGAAAGTGCAAGAATGCTGAAAAACGAAGGCTCTCCGTGGATATCGGTACAAGGTAAGTGGAGAAAGGAGAGATCAACGCTAATAAATACGTCCTGTCCACGTGAGGAATGGGATACTTATTCTTGGGAGGAAATTGGCAATTATTTGGTTCAGCTCCGAAAATTGAAGATAAGAGTTAACCTACGGTGAATGATATTACTTGATGGCCCTCTACAACAATACTGGTTTCCCTTCATTTAGATTATCTTGTTCTTTTTGTTATCCTTAGACTACCTGAAGTTCTATCATCATTTTGTTTTTCTATTCATAATGCTTGCCACCGCTTTATGGGGCGTTTCTGGCCAGGCTGCTATTGCCACGGCCTAGAAGAGCAGCAGTCCACCCGTTCCACTAAGAACACTCCCCGTTACCCATCGCGATTCCTCGGAGCAGAGAAAGCTATCCAGCATGTTAGCCTCCCATCACGTCGTAATCGAAAGACTGGTGACAATTCCTTACCTCACGAGAGGCACAATATCCTCCACCTCTACCATCCGTGCCTCAGCCGGTGTACTGTCGACCATCGGTTGCAATGCTTGCTTGAACTCCGGAGAACTGTTGTGAAATTGTTCGGTGGCAACTGGGCCTGGGCTCACGCAATTGACGGTAATTCCGTGAGATTGACCAAGCTCAGTAGCCCAAACCCTCGCAAACGATTCTAGACCGGCCTTGTTCGCCGCATACACTGTGGTTTCCGCGACGCCCATGCGAGCTGCAGCAGATGTGATGAGCACTATTCTTCCCCCTCGGGGCATGTGAGGTACGGCCGCTTGAGTAAGGAAAACTGGAGCTATACGATGACAAGGTCATCAATTTTCCCAGCTATCAGCACTCTCGTTTGGAGTCGTCGTCATTGTCTGTTCTAATGTGCATACCTTTCAAATTCACATTCACTAGCGTTTCAAAAGATTCCTCTGAAATATCTTTCAGATAGCAATCATCTCCATTACCAGCATTGTGGACTAGTATATCAATCATATTTTTCGGACTCGCCTCCACGGCTGCGTCAATGAGCGTCTGTCGATCTGTCGCGGAGGTGATATCGGCCTTTACTAGAATCCCCTTTCCCCCTGACCCTGTCTCTTCGATCGCGCGGGATCTCGATGCTGCTGACGGGAATGATTTCTCACTGGTATATGTTATTATAACCGCGGCGCCTCTACGCCCAAGTTCGAGCGCAATCCCTGCACCGATGCCCCTACGCCTTGTTAGCCATGTGAAACCTCCAACCTTCCAGAGATATATTGAACATACCGGGAGGAACCCGTTACAATGGCTGTTTTGCCAATTAAATTCGAGGACAGGCTAGGTAACTGCCGGCTACTTTGACCGTTCGAGTGCATGTTATCGACGTCAGAAGAAAATGCAAACTTCAGGGTTATAATGGATGGCAAGAAATGATTTAGAATAATACTGCGGGGAAGTATAGTTGGAGCGAAATGGGCGTCTTTTATTTATCAAGAGCTATCATGTAGAGGTAAGTGGAGACACCAATCCCCTCTTTTCGTTCAATATCGCCTTTTGGTAGCCTGGTTGGGCGCATTGCCGTATAGGGCAAGCAACCCAGCCGAGTGCCAGTGGCGAAGTTTCATGGCTAAGGCTTGGAGTTGGGGTATTATCATTGGTTTTTCCCTTCAACTATCCACCCCTCAGTATGCGAAACATGCATAGCCGTAGGCTTCCGCCCCCGAGAGACGTCATAGTGTACCTATCTTGTGGCATTTCGGTATTATTTGCTCTTGATACACCCTTAGCGTTCCTGTGATCAATGTCCTGCCAAGAAACCGTTGCTGCCAGGCAAGGAGGATGCAGAAGACCTGCATATTGTACTCGGCATTCGTAATCAACATTCCCAAGGCGGCTAATTTCGTTTTTGTAGACAGACTAAAACTTAGACTGTCGGGTGCGGTATCTACATGTTGGAACTTGGAGTCACTCGAATAGAGAATAAGGGACAATCAAAAGCTTGGTATGGCTGTTCATTTCATAATCTACTATCTGTTTACCAAACAAAAGATCTCGCATCCCGGAACACTGAACATGAGACTAGGATTTCCTAACATCGCATCGAACACCTTAAAAGTCAGTGGGTCTGGCATCCTTCAAGAGCTCAGGTCGAAGATGGTATATCGGATCCATCTGCTCATAGTAGCCACAGGCAGGATCGCTCATGTAATATCCAATGTACTCTTGAATGTCGCGGTCGTAGGTCCGCGCTACGTCCTGTGGTACGGCTAAGAATTGGTTCTCCTCCTGCCGCAAAAATCCACGCGTGATAAACGTAGCGAAAGCCAGGCGATACTCATCTTTGGTGACATTTGAGCCTCCGCCATGAAAGGCAGATGCCAACATAATGAAGCCATCTCCCTTCTCCATGTCAGCAAATATGCATTGATCAACGCGAGGTGGAGTGTTGCGATCAGTGCCCCTACAGCCTGTCAGATAAACCACATGGAGCATGATGAAGACATCTATTTCTAACCTACCAAAGATGGCTCCGGGGAATGAACTGGGTACCCCCGTTCTTCTTCGTAATTCTGCAACCAGCCACGAACAATCCAACGGCTGACTCGCGATTCATGTCACGGGCATCATCCCATTTATCGATCTCAGTATGGTAGCGATGGGCAATATAGTCATCGCGGTGCAGGGGCTGCGCCTTACCGCCGGGGCCAATTCTCATCGCTGTGCAGGAATGGACGTAGGGCTTCGATACGGACTCTTTCTTTTCATCTCCCCACCAGAACCAGCTCTTTGTAGTTAAAAAGTGCTCACAGACCTTGCGGAAAAGGGGATTCATGAGTTGCGTCTTAGTGTAGGTAGGGCTTCGCGCAATCAGTGAGGGAGCCCGTTGGGTTTGCGCTTACACACGAGGTTAGCCCTAGCCATTGTATGCCTGCCTTGAAGTATCTAATTTCATGCTTACCTGGGAAGAACGTGCCATCCCATTCCACGTCATTATCCAGGCGATCCTTTACCTCGTGGAATGCCTTATCGACATTTTCTTCGGTGATCAAATTCTTCACAAATACCCCGCCATCACGCTTCAGCAGGTACAGAATTTCCTCGAGTGGAGTATCTTTGGACACTTTTTGGACCTCGTCGCTGTACTTAGATGTATCAAAAGAGTCGGACATGTTGAATAGTCTGCAATTGAGGGGACAACTTAGTGCTATCTGTACGAATGGTAACTCGTATTGCTCTATTTCATGGAAGTACTAGGTGAATATCTTATATCTTAGAGAATAACCGCTGTCGTCACACGAGGTCTTCCTTTAGATCTTACTTGTCCTGATCTTTAACATGCGTGGCAATTATTTGCGGGGGTACGTGTGGGGAACCCTGGCGGTTGGAATTCCTACCCAAAAGAGTACCATCCCCAACCCGGTGGTTGGGGACGCACGGGCTATCACCTCGCAGTTGTCAGAGCCTTTCCCGACCTCACTTTCCTTTCAGCCGTCTCTTTTTTTTTTTTTTACTTTTTTATTTTCTCGCGCTAACCCAGGAGGATATTCTTCTTCTATCTTTTGCACTAAAATAGCAGAGGGTTAGCTTATCGGCCATCGGCATGTAAGTTTGCGGGGGAACTATACCTAGGGCTTTGTATGCCTGATAACGACTACCAAAGGATGAAGAACACTCCCTTGCAGGCATAACGTTATCTACCTCGTTGTAATATCCCTTGATATGTCTAAGACTTTTGGAATGTAGTGTATATAAATTCCCGCAGATCCTGGAGCAAATGAAGTTTTTAAACATACACATTCACTCATTTCTACCGATATACACATTGTGGTCTTTCTTATTTCTTAGAAATCTCTTATCTTCCCATGGCTTTCATGCTGAAAAAGCCCATCAAGGGCGAGCCCCGCGCGGCTGATGACCAGAGCATCATCCCCGGAACAGTCACTAATATTACGAAGGATACAGACGACGACGATGCAATCCTCCGGGCAAACGGCCATCAGACGGCGATGCCTCGCCAGTTCAACTGGCTCTCTGCTCTTGGGCTGGGCTTTTCAATCACCAACTCTTGGGTTGGCTATCTAGTATGATCACCTTCTGCCTCAGGAGATACCCCGCTGACGATTGTGGACGTGGTAGAGCTGTTTCGGCCAGAACCTGACATATGGTGGCGCTCAGACCTGTATATTCAGTCTGATAGTAGCTTTCATAGTTCAGTTTATCGTGACCTTGGGACTCGCTGAGCTAGGGTCTGCCTTTCCTGTAGGCACAGCCGGTTCTCAGCACACACAGACACACAGACATATACAAGGAAGCTACTAACACTGTAGATGAACAGTCTAGCGGTGGGCAGTATCACTTCTGCTATATCCTGGCCCCCGAAAGGACGAGGAGATACAGTGCATATATTGTTGGCTGGCTGTCAGTCTTAGCATGGTGGATTGTCACGTATGTACCAGCCCAAATCAACCTGTTGCATATCACAGTCACTCTAATGGCTTGCTTCGTTTCTACAGCTGCTCCGGTATCTCCCTTGCTACCGTCGTTCTGAATGGTATTGTACACTTTTGCTCATCTGGGTATATTGCCAATCAGTGGCAGACATATCTTACCTATGTTGGTGTGTCAGTTGTTACGAGTAAGTATTGGGGATGGTCTAAACATATGGACGTGCTCAATGAACAAAACCAATAGATTAATTTTAATCACTCTTTAGTCATCCCAGTATTTGCCGCATCTAACAGAATATCACTCGTAACTCAGGTTGCGCTTTATCTCTCGTTATCAGGCTTCGTCATCTTTCTTGTTGTTTCCATTGTCATGCACCAGCACATGCAGCCACAATCTTTTCTACTCCAATCGGGGCAGGGAAACAGCGGGTGGAACGAAGGCACTGCCTGGCTACTGTCTATAAGTAATGCTATGTATGCGTTTGGCGGTGTGGACGGAGGTCAGTTTAGTTACTTCAGGACTGTGTTGCTTGTTCAAACACTATGCACTAACATCCAACAGTCATTCACATTTGTGAAGAAATACCCAAGCCAGGAAAGCGAGTTCCGCAAATCATGGTAATGACGATGATGATAGGATTACTCACATGTCTTCCAGTATTCATTGTCTTCATGTATTTTACCATTGACATGGAGGCAGTACGGGAGGCACCTCTTCCCAGTCTTGAGCTGGTATACCAAATGTTAGTGTTATAAATCTCGAACCAAATGTCTAATACTAACGCGACGACGCAGAATTGGAAGCCGGAGTGTTACACTAGGGCTGTTTATCCTATTATGGGTGATTTATGCCTGTAAGCCGCTCAATAAAACGACCACGGCATATACAGAGAGAGAGAGAGAGAGGGAGAAATGCATTATACCCGAATACAGCTCCTATCCAGGGGCTCTTCTCGGGTCGTCAACGGCCGTTTAGTATATACTAAGCAGCTCTTATTGACAGTTGTGTTATAAATGGGCTTTATATATATTATGGATATAATAAAGGGTCTAAAATAGCGGTAATTATTGTAGACTGTTTTTTCCTTTTTCTAGATTTTATACTACCAATTATAAGGTTGATTTAATAGTTTAACTGTCTAAAGATAAATTACTAGGTAGAAAGGGTATAGCTACTGGACATGTTAATAAGTATTGTATTAAAAACGTGGGATTCAGCAGTGGAAATATACGTTGAGAAGATATCTAGATAGGTAGGCTTCCAGCGTGTATTAGAAAGAAATAATATTTTAAAATAGTGATTTTCAAGAGATATGTATTATAAGGTTAGTATTTAAAGGATCTAGAATAGGGTTAAATAGCAGCGGTATTTATACTATAGAGTATAGACTATTCTATATTATATAGATATTTTAAAACTAAAGGATTTAAGGATTCTATTCCGCGGCCGTAGATTACGTTGATAGTATTCTAGGGAGCTAGCGCTAAGCCCTTTATATACTTCTCGTTAATATTTTAGTTAGAAGGTATATTGGCGTGTTGATGCGTTCTCTAAAATAATAAAAATATAGTAATAAAGGCGATTTTATTTTATCTCTTTAAGTGGATAATTAAGCGTAGGAATAAGAGAAAATCGATCGATTTAAACAATTTAATAAGGTAAAGGATTAAGCGTAGGAATAAAGGAAAATTAGTCGATTTAAGCGATTTAATAAGGTAGAGAATTAAGTATAGAGATAAGAGGGAATTGATCGATTTAAGCGATTTGATAAGGTAGAGGATTAAGCGTAGAAATAAAGGAGAATTGGTCGATTTAAGCGATTTAATAAGGCAGAGGATCAAGCGTAGGGATGAGAGAGAATTGGTCGATTTAAGTAATTTGATAAGGTAAAGGATTAAGTGTAGGGATAAGAGGGAATCGGTCGATTTAAGCGATTTGATGAGGCAGAGGATCAAGCGTAGGGATGAGGGGGAATCGGTCGATTTAAGCGATTTGATCCCACGGCATATACATATCTGACAGAAATATAGTTTCGCTCCCGTCACAATGGGTCAGTGGTGGTCGAGTTGCATGGGCTTTCGCTCGTGATGTACGTTCGTACTCTACATGGGATATATACACACTAACTATTGTTAAGAGAGGAACCCCTTTTTCAGAATACTTCTCAGAGGTCAACGACAGGTTCAACTTCCCTGTGCGCACGACGGTAGTTGCCTTCCTGTTCAGCTGCCTATACGGTCTTCTTTATCTAGCCTCCACAACCGCATTCAACTCTATTATTACTTCGGCCGTACTTTTTTTGAACATCACTTATACTATACCCCAGGGTATCCTCCTCACCCAAGGCCGTACGTGTCTGCCAAAAAGGTATCTGAAACTTGGCTGGGTTGGATACTTCTGCAATGTTTTCTCAGTCCTCTGGATTGTAGTGCTCGGTGTTCTGATATGCATGCCGCCGAATCTACCTGTTAGCCTGCAGTCCATGAACTATGTGTGTATAATCCTCCTCGGCATTTTCACTCTTATAAATACTCTTTGGTTGTTCATCGGAAGGAGAAGTTTTGAGGGGCCACACATTGCTTGGAATCTGGTACGCTCCATAGCTAATTGACGTTTGTCAATTGCCTGTTCCGGTTGTCTTACTATCCCACTCACTATTCATGATATGTCTAAGTTATCCTCGCTCATGAGGCAGGTACGAGGTTTATTATTCATTGCCATCACTACCTTGAATATATCCCACAGCCTAATCAGTGCCAAACAAACTATCCTTGACTTTGGTGATTAATATTGCAATTAAAGGTTGCCCTGTAAGGGACTACCAAGGCCGTTGGCCGCGTGGCAGTAATCGTTGACTAACGAGAAACTACCCAGTCGTCAAGCCACAGCTTGCATACACCTCCTTCTCAATCGCTTGAAAAAGCTTGACGGCTTCGAGATCTACATACATGGTCAGAATATATGGTACTATAGGTAAATTCCATTACTCACCGCCGTATGGAAGAATCTGAGTAGCGAAGATCGTCGCAATGCCATTCACGCGATCAGCAAACCAGTATAAATTTGCCAGGCCCTCCCAAGACGCTGAACAAGCTTCCCTAGCAGTTTCGCTTTTCTCATGGCTCAACATGAATGTAAGGCCCCATCCATCGGTCGAGTTTCTGGGTTTAGGTATAATCGGACAACTGTTGGCCAGTGTAGGTTTTGCCGATTGGCAATAGTCATTGTGGTAGATCGGATACTGTGGGATCTGGTCGGTAAGCATTTCTTTGCAAGGTAGAAGATTAGTATGAATGAATTGAAAGACGTATTGTGTAGTAAGTACCCACGCTGTACCGTTTCTGACTTCAATATCTGCGCGTTCGTTTTCGGCCAGGTTCCGTTGTTGAGCAGCATAGCCAGGATTTCTGTTCATTTAGTTCCAATATTTCACGAGATGAAGGGAAAAATAACATACTCGAATACTCCCTCGGCGTCCCGAAGCATCCACAGCCACCCATATAGAATTTTTCATTCGTTGCATACCGCGGCTCGGCAAGCGCATGTCGAAGAAGTTGGTCGGTGACACTCAATGTGCCGTCGGCTGCCCGCTGGTGCATGTAGACAAGACGTTGCTTCATGGTTTGCGTCGGGTAAAACGCTAAATCCTTTACACCTAGCGGGGCAAATATCTACGTCTGAAAGTACTCCTCAAGGGGGGGGTTTCGTAGCCCGTTCTATGATGACTCCGACCCAATCGATGCTAACACCGTACTGGAATCCCGTTCCTGGTTGGAATACTAGCGGTCGCAAAAGAACATCTTCTCTCCGTCAAAATCGTCGATGCCGGTCGGCCTTGCCCAGTCGCTGAGCTTAACATCGTCAAAGGCATATCCGAAACCGGCTACTCACAAGTTAGAAGGTAAGTCAAGATACTGGCTGATTGTACGTACCTGTGTTGAGTCATAAGCATCCTGAGCGTAATCCTACGCTCCTGCGGCACTAGTGTGTAAGATCCACTAGAGTCTCTCGTCAACACCTTTAGTTCCTTCAACTCAGAAGCAAGACGATCAAGTTGAAAGGCATCGTCGAGTGCGAGCTCCCCTTGTTCCACGAGTTGCATGCATGCTATTCCTGTGAGGAGCTTTGTACATGAAGCTAACCAAAACACTGAATCCAATGTCATGCGCGACTTGCCATCCACCTTCATGCTACCCGATGCGTGCGACAGGATTGGATTTCCATCTCTGGTCACTACGATGCTAACCACCCCGGGAATTCTGGGATCTGGGCCACTTGTCGCTTCATCCATTCGGGCAATAGCCGCGCTCACGTCTCGTGTAGACTGTTCATCTGACATAACTGTTGCCCTGGATCGTATACGCTGGCCTCGAGTGCGATGCAAATGTTAAAGGTGAAGATTGGACTATGCATAAGGGAATGTCACAATCAAGCAGTCGAAAATTTAGTACTACTGCTCATATAAATCTGATGTTTGCTCTTACCAATGAGCACCGGCTTCATACGGTATGCGGGTTCAACACTAGCCATTCTCTTCCTGCTACAGCCAAGTCTACCAGACGCAGCAAGTATACCAGACGCAGCACCAATTGGCACACTTTCCATAAGAGGGAGGAGTTGCGCCCGGATCTCATGCGTTCCAGACCACCCTATATCAAATAGCAAACACCATACGTATACTCGCATGAATACAATAAAAAGGCTGGGTTTAGGAAAGAGGGTTAAGTGGGTCAGCTGCTGGGAGTATTACCTTATCGGGAAACCATGTCAGCTCGCTCGGATTCCGATCTCACATACGGATCGCTCCACTACGGCGATACCCGTCTCACCGCTGAAAGTGGGGGTCGGCGGTGAGATGGGTACCAAGATACCTCCGGGCGACAAGTCCGTAATATTATTCGAGAGCGTGAGAATATCCAATGGAGGAAGATACCTGCAAGCGGAGTCTTGTGACAATATATTCCCGCGGGCCTGAGCAAGATAAATAGCCATTCAACTCACCACGCCGATTGCGTTCTCACACTCATCAGACTCCCTAGTCTTCACTACCATACCTCCTCAAGTACACTGAACTAGGCGCACCATGTTTCATCCTCTTGACCCTCTCTCTCCAGCAGAGCTACGCAAAGCTTCGCAGGCATTGCGAGCCTATCATGCTCCGACCCCCGTTCGGTTCAAGGTTATAGACCTTCTCGAACCGCCTAAAGCAAGCCAGCTTGCGTACCTGCAGGACGAAACTGCTGGAGTGCAACCACCTCCTCGCAAGGCCTACACATACTATCACAAGCATGGCAGTACAACGCTACGTAAAGCAAAAATAAATCTCCGCGATGGAATCGTGGAAGCGGATGAGGAGTACCCAGAAATACAAGGACCGGCTGATATTGACGAGATTGAGCGCATTATTAAGGCATGTGCCGAACATCCAGCAGTGAAGGCTGAAGTCGAAAAGCTCAAACTTCCCAACGGTGCGTAAATGATTCTTGTTCAAATTTAACAACCATCGCTGTTTAGCTGACTTTCATGGCAGGGCAACGATAGTCAATGACCCTTGGCTCTATGGAACAGACGATGCAAACGAGCGTCGGCGCCTGTACCAATGCTATATGTACATTGCCCTGAATGACGACCCCGAAGCGAACCACTACTCCGTCCCCACCACGTTTGCCCCCATTTTTGATGCCCACACACTTGAACTGCTGGAAATTGAGAGACTCCCAGCGGGTGTCGGAGCCGAATTAGAGTCCGACACTCTGCCATGGGAGCCTGTCAAGGCAGTAGAATATAGCGCAAGGCTTCTGGGAAATGACTACTTTAGAAAAGACATGAAGCCCTTGCATGTGGTTCAGCCTGAAGGTCCATCATTCGGCATCCACGGGCGACATGTTACCTGGCAGAAATGGTCGTTCCACGTGGGCTGGAATGTTCGCGAGGGTCCCATCCTCAACAACATCTTTTACGGTGGTCGGTCTCTATTCCACCGTATTTCAATGAGCGAGATGACTGTCCCGTATGGTGACCCTCGCACCCCTTATCACCGCAAGCAAGCGTTCGACCTAGGAGACTCTGGATTCGGCATGGCCTCTAACACATTGACGCTGGGCTGTGATTGCCTGGGCCTTATTGCTTACTTCGATGGTATCCGGACCTCTGGGTCAGGAGAGCCAGTAGTCATGAAAAACGTCACCTGCATGCATGAAGTGGATGACGGAGTCGGATGGAAGCACACGAACATTCGTAACGGGCAGGCCTCCATGGTTCGAAACCGCCAGCTGGTGATTCAGTGCACAGCTACTGTACTGAACTATGAATATATTCTCGCCTACATTCTCGATCAGGCAGGTAACATCCATATCGACGTCAAGGCAACCGGCATTGTGTCGACCATGCCTATCCGCCAGAAAGCGCTTTCGCCGTGGGGAACAGTCGTTGCGCCGGGTGTCCTTGCTGTTAACCACCAGCATCTCTTCTGCTTGCGTATCGACCCAGCCCTAGACGGAGTGAAGAACACAATTACCTACGATGACATCAAGCCGGTCGTGAACAACCCGCAGCTCGACCCCTTCGGCGTAGCGTTCCGTGTTCACACCACGCCCATCAGTCAACCTGGCGGTTATGATCTCGACATAAGCCAGTCCCGAACTTATAAAATCATTAACCCATCTCAGATCAATCCTGTTTCAGGCGAGCCTGTCGGCTACAAGCTACACGCGCTGCCCAGTCAAATGCTCATGATGGGGCCGGAGACTTTCAACTACAAGCGCGGCCATTTCTCCTCGAAACCCATCTGGGTAACATCCTACCGGGATGATGAATTCTGGGCTGCTGGTGAGTTCACCAACCAAAGCCGAGAGGACACTGGCTTGGGTGTATGGGCACGGCGTAATGAGAATGTCGAGAACGAAGATGTCGTTCTCTGGCATACTTTTGGCGTCACTCATGTTACTCGACCTGAAGGTAAGCTTTCCATTTCCAATTACCAAAGTATCCGTTGGACCTTTTCCTAATTGCGATCACGAATAGACTTTCCGGTTATGCCAGTTGAGAAGATGTCAGTGTCTTTGAAGCCGACTAGCTTCTTCGAATTGAATCCCTCGAACGACGTTCCTCGCTCGAACCAGAACATGAATCGATCAACCTTAGTTGAGCATTCGAGCACGGCGCCAGATTGCGGAAAGTGCGGTTTGTAACCGATCTTTGATTGTATGACCAAGTATAAGACAGCAAACCAATTAGAACATTCTGATCCCTTCTAATTCAGAATAAATTATAGCCCAATCATCTCATCCCTTCTCCACCTCAGTAGTCTATGTAGTGTATGTTATAGAGGACTATGTGCGCTTATTCTTGTCAATAGTCAGATTAATCTTCCGCATATATATAGAACTATGAATAGCAGTAAAAAGACTAGCGAAGAGTCCGAGTCATTACCAACCTGCATGGATGGCTATTCATTATAGATGAGGAGCAATCTGACACAAATGAAGATCATTACCAACACTTAATGCTTCGAACCTTGTGCAGAAATGGGTATACTCAACTTTACGATGTAAAAAAGCTACTGTCAGCGATCGCTAAGGCATGCATGCAATATCGCCTGATATATCTGGCATCAAATGGGATCAATACATTCTTCCGGCCCCGAGATAACTACAACACCGCGTTTGGTATTTGCTTTGTCTATCACGTCAAAATGTGTACTCTCGGCACCGATCAGGTTCAACATCTAAGCTAAAACCTCATAGCTGTTCTGTATGTTGACCCAGGAGGTCTGGACCGATAACCATGGCTGGTAGTGCCAAAAAGAAAGTCTCAAGTGCTTGTCAAAGATGTCGACGCCAGAAACTAAAGGTGAGCTTCCCCCTTAGAACCGAGTCAACATTGAGTAACGGGCTGGCATAGTGTGATATATCTCGCCCATGCACGTTGTGCAGGAGGGCGGGTGTTGACTGTCAACCGGTGACTCCTGCCCGGTGGAGGGTTTATCAACAAGATCAGCCCCTGGAGTCGGCGCCCGCTACCAAACGGATCCGTATGGCTGAACCTACGGAGTCTATATCACCATCGCGCAGTGAATCTCACCTTCAGTCTCTTGCCATTTCCTCGAGTGCCATAGGTCAGGAAGATACACGAGAGACGATTGATCAACGGCCAGCATCAGGCAACCGTCAATCCTGGAATTCTAGCTCCACGATGGCTCTAGTGGATGGGGTATTGGCGTACTGCCTCTTGTTGGTTATGGTAGTGGCTGACCCTCCCGTAGGCATTTCATCTTCATAACGCAGCTACTCCTGGATCGGCCGCAACTAATGCTATTCCTGGAGCCGGGCTCGGTGACCTTGTGTCTGACGCGTCAGGGGAAGAAACCCCGACGAGAAATCCCAATAATGTCCGTTCCTCACCAGCACCCAGCCGCCTGCCTCCAATAATCCGATCATTAGCCTATTCCTCTCAATCAGCTGTGGCAGAGCTGGTATCGCTTTTACCTGACTATCAAGCAGCAGCTTTACTTGTAGATACCTACTTTGACCGAGTACACTGGTTCATGCTCATTTTCCACCAAGATGACTTCCGGCGGCGGTGGCCGAAGCTTTACAGATCGCCAAACGCGCGGATCTCGAGCTCTTCTCAAAACTTAGGATTTATTAGCACTTTTCTGATGGTTATCGCTATCGGTATCCAGTACATTGGGGATCATCGCCGGCATCTCTTGACCACGTACGGCATTGATCCAGATATCCTCAAAGAACGAATTTTCTCTGCTGTGAGAACAAGACTACTGGATATAGTTTCTGTCGGCTCCCTAGAGGTCGTACAAATGTGTGTGCTGCTCGGGACATACTATTTGTACCATGGTGCACCTCGACTAGCATGGCCAGTATGCGGCTGTGGGCTGCGCATCGCTCAGGCCTTAGGCCTTCATCGCAAAAGACCGTCAAGTCCCCACCAGTCATCTCCGAAGAGTACCGCTTCTCGAAAGCAAAATGAAGCAAAAAAGCGAGCGTGGTGGGCTATCTATGAAATTGAAACTTTTTGTTCGATGGCATATGGCTACCCTCTAAGTATCAAAGACTCCGACTGCGATGTTGAGCCGCTAGATCCAACATTCAACTCACCGATTGGACAATCACCCTCTTCCTTTGAAGAGCCACTCACGGGCGAGGCGAGTCTGCTCTCCTACAAATATTTCATGTCAAAATTATCTGTCATTACCAAGGATGCATTATCTGAATTGTATAATGTCCGTCTTGATTCCGCTGAAGGTTCACGGCTACATCACTCAACCTTGGACCCGTCCTACGTTATCGACAGGGTGCGCACAATCGATATGAAGCTACGGCATTGGAATGCAGAGATTCCCTGCAGGCTACGGTGGGATAGCATAACTGCAGCGGATGTTAGCTACTCATCACCACAGGCAGTCGATCGGGATATTGGTGCATCAGGACCTGTCTTCGAGAATCATATTTATCAGCTTCAGGCACTAACTCTGAAACTTGCGTACGAGAATGCTAAAATCCTGGTTTATCGTCCGCTGCTGTCATATAAGGTCGTTTCACAGTCCTCTAACTCTAAACCCCGGGACGATACAGAGTCAACTTCAAGGTCCATGAGCCCATTTCGGTCTTCATTGCAGACCTGCCGAGCTGCCGCTATGAGCATGGCCGAAATTGCTTCGCACCCAATTGTTGATCTCATATCAGAAACCTATGCCGCGGCCTTTGTCAGCATCCACACATTCACAGCTGGTGTAACCCTAGGCATCCTCAGCAGTATTGACCCTTTGGGACCACAGTCTCGCGATACCAAGATTGGGATGCATCATCTCATGGGCATTCAGGAGAAACTCAAGGATCGATCAGTCCTTGCTGCACAGGGCCTTGAGATACTTCAGCGCCTATCCAGGCTCGTGATGGAGAAGGAACTGAATGTGATGCTTGATGTGTCCAAGCCTATAGAACTCTCGAAGCCCAGAGATAGTGAAGGTGACAATGTAGCCAGTGGATGGATCGAGAACCCTCGCCCTAGTGAAATGCTCAACTCCGCATCAGATGCTCCCGTGTCTGCAGCATATACCCAGCGATCTGGCGACTTAACTTGTCCTATTCCTGACCAACGATCAGAGGCTTCAACAGCTAATTCTATGTACCCGTTCAATATGGTCAACGAGAACGCCCTGCAATATATGGAAGACCCAATTTTATCTGAAGCCATATATGACTTCGATCAAGGTATCAAAGCGAGCTGTTTTCTATAGCTCCAGTCACTAATGCTTTGTTCGAATAGCCCTCTCTATATACGCCCCTCGATTATCAGCGGATCCCGAAGAGTCATATAATGCGTCGCTTATCCGTCCTCCTACTGACGAAGGCTTTCCGATACTAGAACAAACATGGATTTGGGGTTTGGAAAACATTCCACCCTAAAGGCCATATAACCATCTAACCGGATAGTCCAAGAAATTCACATTAGCTTGAGCACACCCCATCGATGATACACTTTTTTGGCAACGACGCCCCTTAGGTGACTGTAGTGTCAGCTCAGATCCCCTTGGAACAGGTGTTGGGCATCGCTGGACTTAGTATCTACATGGCTTACGGATCTTCCCGGCGTGAGGAAGCCTGGAATCCTGGTCCGTCTGATTCGTGTCATTCAATACATACAAGAAATCTCGACTGGTTATTTACAATCATCCATGGACACAGACCTCAGTACCCGCCTGTGCTATCCTCAGCCATTGGCTTAAAGGAAACTTCCACCGGCTCGTTGCCAATTCCACGCTTTTTCGCTTCCTCCAAAATTGCCACGGTCGCCGTGGCGCCAATTCGAGTTACACCCAAGCTCATGACATGCAGCAAATCATCCAACGTTCTCACACCCCCGGCTGCCTTGATCTGGACGTCCTTCCCCGACTTCTCCCTCATGAGCTTGAGGTCCTTGACGGTCGCTCCGCGATAGTTATATGACCCATCCTTCTGCTTGACAAAGCCATATCCGGTGGAGGTCTTCACGAAGGCGACTTTCAATTCCGTACAGATCTCACACAGTCTCGCAATATGTTCAGACTGGAGATAATCATTCTCAAAGATAACCTTGAGAATGGCACCATGAGCCACTACCGCTTCGTTGATCTGGCGGATCTCTTCCTTCACATAATCCCAATCGCCGCCAAGGACTTTGCCCACGTTGACGACCATGTCGATCTCGTCACCACCTGCCTTGGCTGCTGCTGTCGCCTCGATCACTTTGATCTCCGTTGTACTGTTACCGTGAGGGAACCCGATCACCGGACAAACGAGGACGTCGCTCCCGGCGAGCTCTTTCTTGGCCAGCGGGATGAGGTATGGTTTCACGCAGGCGGTTGCAACGTGGTTCGCACGGGCGATGCGCAGACCAGCAACGATGTCTTCGTCGGTCATGGTCGGGTGCAAGAGGGAGTGATCGATCATTTTTGCGAGTTGGAGAAGGGTGACGGTGATCGTGTTGGAAGGCATCTTAGATAATAGACTGATTGCTATCCAGTAGTAGCAAATAAACTATAGAATGATAATCTAAGATTGATAAGCTATCTATTGATGCAGCTGCTAAGGGACCTACTTATATTCCGATGATGGATAGGGCTCCACCGGAGACTTTTCTCCTTCGGCCGGAAGGATTGCTTTATTCGGTAACTCAATCCACCGGAATCAATTACCCAGAGTCAAGTCGTTCGTCCGTTATCCAGCACCAACTACTACAAAAATATAAACAAAATAAAAAAAAAAATATTGTAAATATAGTACAATATAGTACAATATTGAGAACTTGCCACAGTATAAGATTGTATCGGCTTTCGGGTGTATTTCTTATGCGAATCTCTGTGCCTCACATAGTTGGAAGTCCTCAACTGCCACCAAATCTACAAAGCTTCGTTACGTGGGATTGGGCCTGAAGAGCCTGAAATGCGGGCTATGCAGGGTGCATCTAAAGGTCTGAAGCCTACCTTGGTAAAGTTTCCCTGTAGCCGTGGATAGAGTACTATGTCTTCCAGAGCTAGATTATGTGACATCCAGATATTTCTTCGATGTATGGGCAATCGACCGATATCAACCCAATCATTTCCCAACAAACGCCATGTTTTTCTCTGAAAAGCAATATTTCTACCTTACTGATGCGAGCTCTCTCTCTAACTACTCACAAGCTCCACTTCCTCGCCAGTTCAAGGCCCTCTGCGAGCGCAACGACCCGAGTCTCAATGGCGAACCCCTCTTTCTCGAGCCTCTTGATTTCGGAAAAGAGTGACTTGATAGGGAGCGTGAAGACCTCGATAAACTCTTCTTCCTCCAGCTCTGGACTAGGGTTCTGATTCTCCGGCAAGGACAGGTCCACATTCACATAAGCAAGCTTGAAGTTGTTATTGCAGAACCCGGGAGCTGTCAAGTCGTCAATTTCTTTTCTAGTGAAGCCTAGATACAGCTCCCATAGCGAGATACACAAGTTGAGATACTCACAGTTGAACAAAGTTCTACTTATCCTTTCCACCTCTCCTACAAAACCCGTTTCCTCCTTGAGCTCCCGCACCGCGCACTGCTCTGCGGACTCTCCGGGGTCAATTAGGCCTCCGGGAATTTCGATGACTACCTTGTCCAGAGCGGGTCGGTACTGTTTGAGCAAAACCAGTTCCGGGCCCGTTGGCTTGTTCAAGGTGGCCACAATACTGACTCCATCGAAGTCACTGTTCGCCGGTCGAGTCTATGTAGCTGAGTCAGCTACTCCTCTCTATCCAGAAGTTACTAGCATCAAGAAGGTACTTTACCTGCATCTCGGCGGACTCCCAGGTTCTCTGCACACCATTGGGATCTCGATAGGTCGTCTTGACTAATCTCTTCCATTGGGCTTCTTTGGTGTCCTATGCCTAATTGTTAGATGGCGCTCGCCACACTGGCCAGAATACCATACATACCAGGGTGCACCGTGAGAGAATCACGGGTTTTGTGTATTTAGAGTCCGGCATATTGCTTGCTGCTGCTAGTGCTGTCATGCACAAAGCTATTTTTGTTGGATTCGCAATGACCCCGCGACGACCGCTGGGAAAAAGTGGGGCCGTGGGGGAGATTTATGGCTGAGCCTAGTTAATTGAATGACTTTAACCACGCTGTGCTGGATATTTAATTTTACAGGATTGAATTGCTTTTCCCTTCTTCGCTAGCCAGTCATATACATATCGGTACATTCTATATAGCACTAATTCACGCTATGCTCTCGCGACCTTGATCATGAACCAGGGTATAATGTCCACAGGAACCTATCCTAGATATTCTCTTAGAATATCGTAAGGGGTATCATGGTATATCTCCGACGTTACCTTGCGTAATGGAGTCCATGATCTGCCAAGCTCCGGAGGGTAGCTCCTCCCTATGTCTTGAGCATCTAATGCTTTCTTGATAGGGAACCAGCATTTCTCAGATCATGCTGAGCTGTCACCAGTACATAGTCTCATCTGAAAAACACGCCACAACTGCACTACTCTTTCCGTTCCACTTTGCCCTGCCTTCTGCCTCCTGTTTCTATCTTCTGCTTCTCCATATACGGGTCTGTGGAAGCAACCAGAAACGCGAGAAAAGTCAAGAAGCATACAATTCCACCGAGAAAAAGGCGAGCAAACTGCCACTGACTGTAATGGTCCTGCACTCCACAGAAGACCATCGGCGGCCCAAAGGCTAGCCCGGCGTAGCGCAAGGCCGCTATACAATCAGCTGGTGCCGGTTTGCGTGGACACGAGATATTGAGCTTACCAGCACTCGCGGAAGATGCACTTGCGCGTGTTGCCCGAATGAGAAAGAACACAGAGACCACTACGGAGCAGACCAACACCCCTGAACTGATATTAGTATCTTCGCTTCCGGTCGCGGCAGAAATACATACAGGAATTAAATACCCCGGCGGTAGAGCTGTACCGCTGCTCCCGGATATCCTCTTGGACGCTTCGGTATAGAAAGTTCCCAACGTCTTTTCCAAAAACCCGTTCGAAGGTCCCGGTAGATGCATGGCGCAGGTCATTTGGTCGACCTAATTGCCAGCGACTAGCTACTTCGTTGGCGAAGTCTGCGGTCGCGTCATGCTTAGCGACGAGGATATCAGAGAGATAGGCTCTAACTGCATTGGGCCCAGCGGAAGCTGGAGGAAAGGCCATCACCGCTGTATCTTGTGCGATTATTGTGGAAATGAACACACATTTTTGAGGCTGTTGGGGCCAAACCCCCAGGGTAAAAATCAGTGCCTGGGTGCCATCAGGCCATCAGGCAACAACGGTAATCCCCAGGCACCGGAACATGTGACCTGGAGGTCTCCATGACGTCATGGACATATATCACTTCCCCGCGATCTTTCTCAAACTTTTACCCCGACACGTCCTCCATTATTCCTTTAAACCATCAATTAATTGTCCTACCACAGAATCTAACCCTTCCAACATGTCCGAGTCACTCGCTGCCTTCCGCAAGCGCCGCAGCGACGAATTGGCCCGTCTGGCTGACGAACACCTACAGCATGACTTGCGACAGGAAGACCGCGATACCTTGAAGTCTGCAGCGTCGAAAGTTTCCCTTTGGACTGGCATTGGCTCCGCCGTGGGAATTGGCTTGGGTCTATATGTCGCCTTCAGACTGCGCAGCTCGCGCAAAGCTTTCTTTGATGTTTTCCGCGCCCAGGAGAGACCAACACAAGTGATGTTTGCCGATGGTCGGACGGGTACGCGACCCTATGCCTATCACTACTCTATAGGGAGATACTAATAAAAATACAAACAGAGTCTATCCCAGATATTACCCCCTTACTAAAGCCAACCACGCTTGGTGATTTCGCTACGTATTTCTTTGCTTCTGCTGGTGGACTGTTTCTAGGTGGAGAGATAGGTAAGAATCAACTCCGACCCTCCGCGTGACTGGAGGAGTGCAACATATAGGACTATTGACAGAGCGCTAACTCAATTCATTGTTGTAGGCTTCTTGGGAGGAACAGCTAGCGGCACTCGCACCATCACTGCCGACCCGGAGCAGAAAAAGAGGATCGAGACCGCTTTCCGGCGATTCCGGGCCGACGTACTGCGCAAGGAAGCCGATGAATTGGATCGTGGAGCGAGTGTTGCGGATAAGATGTTTTGATTTGGGCGTTTGATGTATGAGTGGTGGTGTTGCATGGTTCGGCGTATACCTAATCTGCCTAGTTCCCATTGCTTGACACTTCGTGTGGTATCATATGGAAAACCTTCACGGCGTAATACCAACTTCAGATTTCCCAGTTATGGTATACAAAATGCGTCATTGGAATCCGGACCCACTCAAGCGCAAGACTCCGAGTCAACCGGAAGAATTTGGATGTTTCCGAGACCGCCCACTTCCGAGAGTATAATAAATCTTGATCTCATTATCACACGTACGCTTCCCTTTACCAATTATTTTGATACAGAAAGTCGAGTTTTCCGTACCAGAATCCCAGTGCCATGTCAAATCTACGAATCCCCTGCGCCCTTGTCACAGGCGGAGGGGGTGGTCTGGGTGGTAAGGGCATAGCCACCTATGTTAACTTGTTTGTAATGTTGCTTGGTGCTCAACCAGGATGTCTTGAGGAACTGCTTTAGAAGGAAGCCCACCAGGTTGCAAAAAGTAATTTCCAACTTTGGTAGAATATCTTTTATACTAGTATCTTTTTGTTACTCTTCCAGGGGTGCAGAGTAGTAAAGTTTCTATCATGTGCTCTATGTCATCGTGCTACACATTCATAGCGAAGATTATATATAAAGCGCGACTTTAAACAATAAAGACACATGGAGCACCAACAACACAATATCAAATCAGTAAAAAAGGAAAGAAAGTCAAAAGCACTAGAGAGACTTACTTAATGAGCATAGAGCATTACACTTGTGCTCAGAAAATATAAGGAAAGCAAAAAACCCCAACAAGAAGCATAGGAATTTGGAGGAAAATTCAAGGCGTAACGTCTTTCCCTTTATTAGCATTTATTAGAGAAGTGCCTTCAACAATTGGTCCTATAACTCAGTTGGTTAGAGTGCTGTGCTAATAACGCAGAAGTCGAGAGTTCGAGCCTCCCTGGGATCATTTCTTTTTGCTTTTGCTCTCTTTTGGCTATAACATACACATGGAAATCACACATCGCCAGTGGTGGTATCTGTGAATCAACGCAGCAATTCTACTTTAAGGATCAAGATTCAGCAAATCGACCCACTGTAAGTGTTCCAATATACGTTTGGTGATTGACCAACCTTGGGACGAAATGTCAGAACGTACATATCTAAACATGAAATGAAGTTCGAGTCGCTCCCATAGTCAATGGAGATATATTCTATATTACGATTTACTACTCAGATAAAGAAGCTCCATCCGCATGAATTTAATATTGTTTCGAATCATATATTCCAACCGGTGGTACATTTTTAGATCCAATATTACCTAGTTGCATAATATAGTGAAGTTATCTTTGAGTATTACCGAGGATCCAGTCACCATTCTTCTAGATTTAGGGTACACCTGTTCGGTTTCACAGCCAGCTTTTGCCATAAAGGCACAGTATTTGACTTTGTTGCATTGTCCGAGCAACGAATAGATCCGTGATCAAAACTATTCAAAGAAGAATCAGTCCATATTTCAATCCTCATCTAGGAGCTTTTTATCATTGAATACCTGTGTATGTGCTGGATTCTCTAACTGGAAGGGATGAATGAATCCTGAATTGAATCTATTTGGCGAAGAGCTCGTCTAACTATACGTAAAAACTCGATTCTGAGCTCCTCCTGAAGCCCATATTTTGCTTCGCCGCTGCTTCAAGCAACTGAGACAGTTCAAACAACGTGCAGCTATTTGGAAATATGCATAACGGCAATAAGCATTCGAAAGGCATCATCAGCCGGACAATTGCAATAGAATCTATGTAGCGGTATAGAGAAATATTAGGGAATGTATATAATTAGCTGTCATGCGTCAATACTTGAAAGCAAGATAGATGGAACTTTCACCAACGAAGGTTATACTTAATGAATGGAGGCAGGCATTCCTATTGCTGTCGTTTTGCATAGATCTATATTATGCATACTGGGCAATTGGATAAATATCTGCCTCAACAGGCAAAGCCCCAGGTTCCACCCCCCAACGATATCTACAGACTCTTCTACTGAGGGATATCAACCCATGACAAAAGTAAAATAGGCAGGCTTTATTAAAAGTCAGCAGGTCTTCCCAGAGTTAGAAATCGACTCTTGAATGTAGCGTCGTTTGCAAGTCTAGCCAGGCTTTTTACTGAGCCGTCGCCGATCCCCTACTGAAAGGGGGATAGGGCTTACTCCATGCTATCTATGTCTACACTAGATTGAACCTACAGTCATATTAAGCAAAAAGAGTCTCACACTAAAATAGCTTGGTTCCATCAGAGCGTCTGAGACGTATATTTCTATGAGACCTGCTCAGCCCCCAAATCCGGCCCCCATTCCTAAGACTATATATCCTCCTTAAGCACCTCTCCAGTGTTTTTGTCGTCCTCTCACACGATCTGCCCTTTTTACACTGTCCTCGAATTAATCTTTCCTACTAAACAAAATGACGAAGAGCATCAACGATAGTTTCAAAGATCGTCGGACCATCTATGCCCTGACTAACGAATCGACCATCTCGGATGATCGACTAGAGGAATTGCTTACCGACGTTGTTCGGCACACCCCCAGTCCCTTCAACAGCCAGACATCGCGGCTGGTTGTACTCCTCAAGGATGAGCACCAGAAACTGTGGGATATTGCTTATGAAGTCGCCAACTCAACCGTTTCCCCAGAAGTGTTTGACAAGGTCTACAAGCCACGGATCGCCATGTTTCGCGGGGCATATGGGACTGTGAGTATCGCCACTATTATATCGGAATAAGTATAAGATGTGAACTCACTTTACACAGGTGTTGTTTTATGAGGATCATGCACCTATACGGCCTCTAGAAGAAAAGTGGCCTATGCTGAAAGATAAATTTCCGCAATGTATGTACCTTACACGGACATAGACACCCATCCTTGCACATTCCTGAGACTAATCTTTTCTAGGGTCTGAACATGCCAGTGCCATGCATCAATATGCATGTGAGTCCATACCCAACAAGACCTTGAGTACGTTACTGATCAATACCCCCGTAGTATGGACGCTCTTGGAGGCAGAAGGGCTTGGATGTAGCCTCCAGCACTACAATCCAATGTTTGATGCCCGTGTTGCCGAGCAATGGACGATTCCCGAGGATTGGAGTCTCAAGGCCTAGTTGGTCTTTGGGAAGCCGATCGGTGGCCCTCGCGAAAAGTCTTTTGAGCCTGTGAACCAGAGGCTATTTGTACATGGAAAGTAGGAGTGCATGAATAGACTGGGTTGCGTTGTCCCAGGGCTATAATATTTCCAACGTAGTCAGGAGGGCAAAGTAAAGAAAAATTAATGCCTCGTTCCCCGAGTCGGAATTGTAGTCGACCTTTTGGGTACAGGGTAAATTCTATCACAGCCAACCGCCATATTTAACCAGACCATCGGGGGTTTTCCTAGTAGAGATACTTCAGCACTTGCTATCTAGACTTATAGAATTCTTGATGGAAGCCCTCAGGAGAAGTATGGTCTCCTATTAGGCCAGGCAATGCGTGCCATGACACCACACACGATTCCAAATAACTTTCTCCTGAATTGCAGTATAATTATTTTCCAAGTTTGAACATTATCCCTCCATCTCAGTGCTTGAGGAGTTGTCTTCCTCCGACATGGAGCCTTCAAATGCGGGTTCATCTAGATTCTAAATTAGCTAGAGTCGCCGATTGTTAACGAAGACGTCTGATTTAGTAAATAAATGTCATAACTATAAGTGAGTACGACTTGCCATATGCATTTAGGGCTCTTAAATACCCTATGTACATAAGTTGCCTTTTAGAAGCAAAGTGTACAAAGTAGGTTGATGTGCAGTCGGCCTGAGGCGGAACCCCTCCGGGCCTCCGGTGCCAAGCGACGATCAACGGGGTCATGATTCGGACCTACAGGGGATAAGGCCAATGACATGAAGACCAAATACGTCGATCGTTCCGGCAATGTGGGCATTTTGTTTCGGATCCCATGCACATAGCCTGGCGGTTGCCTATAAGTTTCCTCTGTCCCGCTCTTTTTCGTTCAAGTGCACTCCTGCGCACCCCAGCAGGCTGTATCACGCGACTGATCCTAACCCTCGTTAACCCCAATGTAGGGGCACCATGGGCCACTGCAAATCCTGACCGTCACCATCATAAAGAGAAGGTCTACATTTTCGTATCCAGCAGACGAACTCGGAGCAATATGATGTTAGCCTATTTTCCGATCGTGCCATATAACAATTCAAGCCCATATGCGGATATCATGAATGATGTTGAATTGACCTCATATGGATAATAGATGATACTTGCCTCGATCCCCTCCTTCAGAATGCTTACCACCTCAAGGTCAACATCCGTCGCTGATAATATGATCGGCTTTATCTTTTCAACGCGTTCCCATCACCCTTGCCCAGCCGAATGCAAGTCACGCAGGCTTAGCACGGTCGCGACGACCTTCAGGTTCGAAGCCAGTTATTAATCCGAGCTACAGTTAATGGAGATTGGCATGGTGCATACCTGATTCACATAGCGGTGATAAAGACTCGAGAGATTTGGAAAATTGCTTCGGAATATAACATGGCCAACAGCAGATGGCAATGGGACAAGAAGAGCAATACAACACCCATTACTCTTAGTGTGGATGTGAGAGAAGTGCAGAAGAGTGGGAGGTCATACTACAGCGGTTCCCGGCAGCCTAGCAAGCTATGCATGCCAGTTTATTGCGCTAAAGCTTACTCTAACTCTACCTACGAGGAACAAAGGAAACCCGAAGGCCGCTACAGCATTGAAACTCACGAGTAAACGAGCACGGGCCAACCAGACTACCTACTATTACTTAGGTAATGGCAAAGATTTCCACCATGCCTGTCGCCATCCAAACCCTCCCCGGAAGGGAGTCACGGTATCTTGTGCAGTCTACGAACATCATCCCCTTCAGTGTTAAGGCCATTCACTCGTCACTGCGTCCAAGGGCAAGTCATACAGCCATTGCCAACCAGGTCAAGGTCGTTTACGCACGGTTGCAGAAGTATGTTACAGAGGCTAGACCGATCGGATGCCTTAGCCACGATTTTAATTTGTCGCGGAAGACACATTCTATCCCCGAGTCGACTAGGCGACGAAGGTATGCGTCCATGGCGTGGGTCGAAAGAAACAATTGCTCTTGACATTCTTGGGATACGAAAAGTCAGAGATAAGAATATCCGGAACTCCACTAATCATACCGCACACTCGAATGGCACCCGCACTGATGTCTCAGCCACACTTGCCGTTTCGCACAAAAGCTGGCTTCATGGCAACAAGTGAAGTCATTGATCATGTGGATAGTCTTCTTTACTGCTCATGATAGAGGCTGGGTGCTTGACAACTGCCATACTGGACAACTTGGTAGGGGGCGGTGAAGGGTGATCGATAATGCAGCGTCGAAGATCTTGCTTGCATGCTACGTCTCGACTCTCGACTAGGGCCAATTTTTGCGCTAGTAAGAGAGACCGGCGAATGTCCAGCTCCATACACCATGACGTCTAATCTGTCAGTCTCTGTCGGCTCTTCGCGATGGTCTCGGACTTGGATTGGCGGCAGTGCGCCACACTCGCTTAGCGGCTGAGAACGAGCAAACCATGGATCACCGTGAAGACCCTGACTTTCCGAGGGTCGGTACAATGTCCTATTTATACACCAATTTCTGAGACCTTACACAGTACGGCCGAATAGGAAGCCTGGGATACCCATGCACAGCCAATGACACGATCGACCGAACTGACAGCTCGCAGATGTGCGACATTCGGGAAAATTCTCCTCGACGTCGGCAAAGAGCCGAAGTGGAGTCGCCACAGGGTCTGATGCTACGCCTGTGGATCCGAAAATCAATAGTTTCGACAACGGTTCTTCTATAGGGCCAAAAGGAACTGAGGGCCTCCGGACCTCCGGTATTGCCGGTCAATGGGGTGACTGCTATAGAATTTTCTTTTGCTTTGGGGAAGTGCGGGCGTGATGTTATTACGTACAAGCCGTGTGGGAGCACATCGTGACCGACTTGTATAAAGACCAGTCGATCTACCTTTTCCTTCATGGGTTCTCTAAATATATACGTTTTACGTTCTAGCGCTACGATACCAATACCAAGTACTACGGTCGTTTCTTCTCAACCGATACTAGCTTTCGTTTAGCAGCCCTTTGCCCTCGCTTCTTTTTCAGGTAGCTGATCTATTCGGTTCAAATCACGATGCGTTCTTCTATGCTCTTGCTGTCTACCCTCGCCGGCTCTGCCCTCGCTCTGCCGGGAGTTTTCCCTCACGGTTTCAACTCCACCTCCTCTCACAGCGCCACCCACTCTCATACCCTTCTTCCTACTGGTGGTGGAGGTGGTGAGAAGCCCACGGACACAGGAAAGGGTGGTGAGTCTCAGACCACCACCGCTCCTGGAGGGTCTGGCTCTGTTCCCGGAACCACTGTGACCTCAACCATCACCGACACCATTACGAAGACGACCTTCAAGCCCTGCTCAACCCCAGTCCACACCGAAGGTGGCACCACCTACTATAGCTCCTGGGTGACTGCTTCCACCTATGAGACTACCACCTGCTATACCACCACCACTGTCCTGACTTCCACTCCTACCGCCGCCCCCTCTGCCCCTGCCGAGACCACTGTCGCTCCTGCTCCCAGCGGTGCTCCTGGCTCCGAGACCTGCCCTCCTGCCTCCACTGTGACCGTGTATGTCACAGTTGGCAACGGTGGCTCTGGTGCTACCACCACCGTTGCTCCCGGTGGTCAGGGTGGCCACCACTGCGAGCGTTGCGAGACCATCACCTATACCAACACTCAGGGCTACACTACTACCATTGTGATCCCTCCCATCTCTGAGCCAACCGGCACTGAGACCGAGAAGACCACAACCACCGAGGTGCCCTCTTCTACTACGACTGAGACTAGCAAGCCCACCGGCACTGGATCCCACCACACCCACACCAAGCCGACTGGAACCGGCAATGGACCTGCTCCCACTGAGACCAAGACCTGGCACGGTGGTGCCCACAGTGTTGTCCGCAACTAAACTGACCGAGTATTTTACATTCTCCTTCAGACGACGATGAAGACGTATTATGTTTTCGGTACCTCATGTGAAACAGAAATGAGGTCTTTACGGTCCTTAATGATACCTTGCATATAGTGCAGTGATATGCTGTTATGTATTTAGTTATAGCCATTCCTTAATGTTTAGACACTCCTTAATATTATAGACATCAACAGAGAAGAAAATATAGATCATCAGTGGATGCCAGCCGGCAAAACTTGATATCGGTGCCATGATACAGAACATGGAGCTCTAGCAGCGACTCCATACGCTCCAGAGCTACGGCAATAATTAGCACTCTAGCGATGAATCTTAATTTACTAGAATTGGTCAACTTATACTGAACTGAATCGCATATCCACGAACCATCTTCAACTGACAAAACGGGCTCAACCTCGACGATATGCACTGTATAGCGTAATTTTCAATTGCCGCAAGCGCTTCGAAATCGAAAGTAGTGCCTATTTTGTTTAAGTACTAAAATGCGAAGGATAGTCCAGTCCAAGCTCCAGGGAAAGTGCGTACAATCCCACGGTCGGAGACAGCTACTAATAACGCTTGACCTTAGCGTCCGCGCGACTGAGGATTGCATTTATTCGGAACTCCCAATTTTCGAGCAATTGGCAGTACGGATAAGATTCGCGTCGACGAAGCTTAGCCTTGTAGACGGTCGCAAAGAATGCCGATCCATTTGAAGATCGTGCAAGCATTATCTCGCTAGACAATCGACGGCGCTGTTTAAATGCCTTAGTGCTATTAATCGAAGAGGTCGGTGCCACTGTTTCGGATCACGATGCAAAACGGGATATTCGATTGCACTATGAGATAGTTTCGCTTCGTGGACTCTTGCTTCATAGACGATGGACGTAATATCTGATTGCTAGGTACCATGCAATTTTCAGGGGAGGCCGATCCTAATAGCCCGTTTCATTACACAGGGATGCCTGGTCTTGCATTACGCGTCCCTTTCTTCTTCGAACTAGGCAACAGTGCCTGGATGTTGGCGATCGCTTGCGAAGAATTTGGCTCTCGTACCACTTCGTAGAACTGGGATATGACCTGGTCTCGAGCTCTAAATTGCAGATTGAGGTTCTCGAGACTCACACGAAAGTCAGATAGGAGGGAGGACGCAACGAGATTCGAATAGCATCATTTGATGGACAGCCTCGGGAGACACTCGGAGATACCTCGGCGCTTTCTCCATTTCCCCAGAGTCGATTCTCTATTCATCTTGACTTGATCAGCGAGGATTTCGGCGACCGGGAAACAGTGCTGGTGTTTTGTCGCTTATGCTGTCCCGTGCACCGAGGCAGCGGGCTGAGCTGATCTGTCCAAGCACTGTGGACTAAGACTCGGCTCTAGCAATCCATATCTATCTATATGGTCGTGTATTTAGGAATCGCAGAGATCCACCGTCCCACGAGAATGTTTCTATTTCTAGCTTGGAATTCCGGCCGCTGTCCTCTTTCTTGACGACACGCTCAGCGCTTTTCACACACCCCAGCCCGGAGACTCGCTGGCTTGGTTTAACATCGGTCGGATCTCCTGCTGCAGTAGTTTTATTCGCGTCTCTTTAGCGCAAAGTACTTCAGTGCTCTTGGACAGGCAGGTTCCACCGTCACATACGGCGTACAATTTTCACAATATTGTGCCGTCCGCTCTCTCCAGGATCAGAAGCAGACGCCGAGGGCCCAAGCAATGGAGACAGCGCTAAGGATTTCCAACCCTTTTAGACAGTAGACAGTAGACAGCAAACACTCGGTTATTCTCTCTTCATAGAAATGCACAGCCTACTATCAGGCAACCCATGCTCGGTTCGCACAGACTGCTCGTGAAAAGACAAAAAATTACTAACGATCCTCGGCTCCCCTCATCAGACACCAAAACAATAGTTCAGTGGAGGGAGAAGGCTCGAAGAAGGTTGGGTTAGTAATAGTAAACACGAGAAATAAAGCCATAGCCACAGTTGCTTATTCTTCCCCTCACGCAGGTCTGGGCTCGGAAGGATTCGATGTGGAGCAGCGGACCTATACGATGGCTTCGGTTCGACTCATGGACTTCAGCCGCATGTTGGGATGGAGTTGTCCTCGGGGCACGGTCTGTATGGGGACAACATGGCATACTGGAAAACACAGAGCCTCGCGAAGGTGAGATGCCCAACATCACGGTCTTGCTCGGGCCATGCCACGTCGCACGGCTGACTGCAGGCCCTCCTGCCAAGGGCATGAGGGGAACAACCTCAGATACGAAGATGGTGTGCAATTTGGCATCGCGGAATACTACGGAAAAGATAGTTTCTCTTGGTTTTCCTGGTTCGGCCTCCTCGTCCTCTCTTGTTGTTTTCTTCCCACTTGCGTTCATCCAATGAGGCCTCAAGTGGTGGAGTTCTACAAATGAGATCACGACTCAGGCGATCACCTCGGGTGATCATACTAGAGAAGCAGCTATATCGCTATGGGTGTGGAGTATGAGCCTATCTGAACTTGTTATGGCGTCGTTGTGCATGGGTTAGCACAGGCATTTGGTATCTATGAGTCCAAGACCGCCATGGACCGCAGTGGGGTTATTATGCGGAGCGGGAAATATGGAAAACAGGTGGATAATGAGAATTGTGATCGTAGTATGGTGATGAGGAGTGTCCCCACTGTTGTCATATCGAGTGTCATTTTTGCGATATTTACCCATCATAGCAAAATGGATATGGCCGTCCATGCGCTGTGCTCCTTTTTCTATCACCTTGCAGGCCTACACCAGCAGGTCAACTGCCGTTTAATTAATTTGGCCCACTGCCGATGGCTGCTGTGGCGGCCGAAGATCGCCCGGCCAAGTGTGGGGGAGACGATGCGATCGACGTTTCCTGACGCGAGGGGATTTTCGATAGTTACCTCGAAATGGGTAAAAGTCGGTGAAAGGCAATCTTCAAGGCAAATTAATATACCCAATAATAGGGAGATCCTGGTCCCTCGATTTTCTACCTGTCCACTGCCCAACGATAACCCCTGGGGATCGGACATTTATTGTTTTGTTTCCTTGCATCGGCCAGCATACATGTCTCAGGGGAAACATTCAGGGCTGCGGGAATCACGGGGAATTTTCCCAGGTTTCCAACGAAACGCAGCAGATGACGACGTCATTTGGAAGACTAGACCAAACACCCTAGCCCTTAACTCGCCTTAGTACATACTTAATCATGTGTTAAATTTTCCCTTAGTAACTTCTTTCTATCTGGGTGGCGTTTTTAGCGTGTTCTAGCACGCCATTCCAGTGACTTGTCATAGTCTCGTCCTGGGAAGTGAGATGGATGGCATCCCACACCAGTCGCAACAGTGAAAATATCTCGCATCAGCGCTGCTGCCCGATTATTGCGGAGCCTCGCGAGAGGAATGACCCGCCTTCTCTGAGCAGCTGCGGGGATTCTCCTGCAAGGGAAGTGGTTGAAGTTGAAGTTTAAGCTAAACCATTAGCATGAATCCTAATCTTGTCAGACGCCAGAAGTATACACTGCAGGACAACACAGCCTGACTCGGGGCTAACCGTCCCCATCTATCACAATTGGCTGTTAGTTTGGATGAACAAAAGTCACTCACGAAAAAAACTTTTAGTGCAATATGCAGTGCAGGGCGCCTTGTGACCTGTATCGCCGAATATTGCAGAATGCTCCTGGTCGTGATGTCAGGGCAGGAAGGGGAATCCAGGGAGCAGAAAGGGTGCATACATAAACCCTCGGGAAACCCTCAGAATCTGCTGCATGAATGAGCACACGCAGTCCACTTCAATTGCCTTCCATCATGCTCTCCCTCCTGGCTGCCTTGTCCTTGCCTCTCGCGTTGGCCAACGCCTTCGCAGCGCCGGGTCCCTGCAACGGCAACTGCTGGGCCCATGATCCTGGCCTCTGGCAACGAGAAGACGGCAAATACTTCTTGTTTTCAACCGGCAATGGCATCCATATCAGCTCTGCCGATGCTCTTCAAGGGCCATGGACCGAAGTGGGCTATGCCCTGCCCGATGGTTCCTCCATCGACCACGCTGGCAACAAGAACCTCTGGGTAAGTCTTGCTTTTCCTGTGTTGAGAGCTATGACCAATCATTAACACTTCCATAGGCTCCAGATGTGCACTTCCAAGACGGCACGTACTACATGTATTATGCCGTCTCCACCCTGGGATCGCAAAACTCCGTCATCGGGGTTGCCACCTCCAAAACAATGGAGCCTGGTAGCTGGACCGACCACGGTTCCACTGGCCTAAGCTCGGACGGCTCTCAGGGGTACAACACTATTGACGCCAACTGGCTCCAGATTGGAGACCAACAGATTCTTAACTTTGGGTCTTATTGGCAGGGTTTGTACCAGATCGATCTGGCTGGCCCATTGAAGATTGGCAACCAAGCCCCGGCCCGCCTGGCCTACAATGCCACCGGCAACCATGCCATTGAGGCAGCCTTCCTCTTCCACCAAAACAACTTCTTCTACCTGTTCTTCTCCTCCGGCAAAGCTAATGGATACGATACCAATTTCCCTGCCCCGGGCGAGGAGTATCGCATCAATGTGTGCCGCTCCTCAACAGGCCGAGGTGATTTTGTAAGTGGCTTAGGTTCTTTTGTCGTCTCCACGTCTCGATGTTGGTACTAATTTAGAATTCGATAGGTCGATAAAAATGGAGTGTCCTGCCTCGAAAGTGGGGGCACGACCGTGCTCGCAAGCCATGATAACGTCTACGGCCCTGGCGGACAGTAAGTAACCTGCAGCTGCTTTGGGAGAATTATCACTCACGTATTTTAGGGGTGTCTTGAACGATAAGCAGGGACCGGTCCTATACTATCACTATGCACCTCGGAATGGGAACTTGGCTGTCGAAAGTTATCAGTTTGGATGGAATCGGCTGAACTGGGTCGATGGATGGCCCACCGTATAAAGGGGAAACCATGATTAACTTCTGCGTATATATATACCCTGACGCTTGATTGGCATACTGATACCA